CAAGGCTGCTCTTCCTAGGAACACTGTTCTATGGTACGTAGATGTTCCTCATTGTAATTGTCAAGTAAGGGAGGTTCTGGATTAATGAGTCTGCTCTTAAGAGGAATACTTTTTTAATATACTGTATTCAACGTAATAAGCACCCAGGGCGCTCTCAAAATTAGAAATAGGGGAAGCTTATTAGAATATTATTTTGAGTTGAAAGATTGTAAATTTTGTGGTTTATGCTAACAGCCTGAAGTGTTTACATACAACAGATATATTTTTCCAGAATTTAATTGCCCATAATTAAGGGTGATGTAACACACGAGTGGGTATTATACACGAATAAATAAGTCTTGTGTACATTGATCAATCGGAAGGGGTGCTGATTGGGATTGTTCACTAGCCAATATATAAGCAAATATCGCCGTGGGCGCTTATTAGAGCGGGGCACTTATTACGTTGAGTAGATGCTCCCCACAGTGATTGTCGAGATTTTCCGATTACAGTATATGACCGCAGATAGCCGACCCCGTAGATAAGCTGAGGTTAACTTGACCATTGAAATACGTAAGAAAATGATATGACCCGCAGATAAGCCGAACCAGGAAGTGATAGGCAAAAAACACTGCGAAGTCGGACTGCAAGACATGTGCTGGTACTCGCAGATATTCAATAATATAAGATGAAAAACATAATTATATTGAAAAAGTCATTATTATTTCAAATAAAGATTTAACAAACAGAAAGTTTGTGATTCATAATACAGAATGTTCCAGACACATGTTGTTTGTCACATTAGAAGTTGCACATAACTTGCATATTTCAAAACAATCTGCCATCTAAATACATTTAATGCCTAGTTTTTATTGTGTTAATTGTGCATGCTGACAAGATGATACGACTTGGATATGTATGTATACTCTAGTGTCTATTGTGTCTGGTTAGCAGGTGTATCATGGAGTTTAATACATGTCAAGACTAGACCAACTCTTAATAGTCATATATATCACATACATTTATAACTTTGATTTCTGGATGTTAGCTGTATTACGCAACAAAGGACATTCTTTCTGCCATTTTAGCAAAAGTAAGTTGGTGTTAATTGTATGGTTACAGTAGCTACTATTATTAAGTCCCACATGTTCAAACTGAGACGGTTCAATCCCCACATGGGTACCATGTGTGAAGCCCATTTCTGGTGGCCCCATTGCTGGAATATTGCTAAAAGCAACGTAAAACCATACTCACTCACTCACATTCGGACTCTGCAATTTGCTGTGCAGAGTTGCATCCCTTGGGTATGCCATGATTGTGGGTTTGAATCCAGGTTCGCCCTGATTATGTTTCTAGGTTTGTCAGCACCATACCTATGCTTGTGGATTTCACCAAAAATCTCAGACCTGCATCAAGTCGGTCTTTCCTCTCACATTAAGCTGACTTGAATACTGTTCTAAGCGGCGTTACAAACATCTCACTCACTTATAGGGTAACTTTGATCGGAGGTTATGGGCTTCTGCTCAAATCATTGAGCACCGAGAGGCAGATCCAGGATAGGGGCAGTTGGGTGGTTATAGCTTTCACTTGCAACCCAGGAGACCCAGGTCGATTCTTGACATGGGTACAATGTGTGAAGCCCATTTCTGGTGTCCCCCGCCGTGATATTGCTGGAATATTGCTTAAAGCGGCGTAAAGCCATACTCATTCACTTAGGTCCAAGATACATGGGGTACAAGGTAACAAACAAACAAAAAACACATGATAGGAGACTGACACAGGCTGGCATGTAAGGTGTCCGGAAAAAGGGAGGGGTGCACTCTCATTTCCTCTTGGCTACGAACCTCCTTCCCAGCGCGTGACACCTTCGTTACACTCTCTGGCACAGCCTTTACAAGAATCTTGAAATTTGCCCTCTAACCCCAAATGTAGTAACGTTTCTACTTTTGTTTATGTCTTTGAGGGGGCACAGGTGGCCCAGTGGTCTAAGGCGCCACAAATCACTGTGCGTAGTTGCATTCCTTGGGCACACCAGAAAGCTATGATTGTGGGTTTGAGTCTCGGTCTGCCCCAATTAGGTTTCTAGGTTTGTCAGCACCATACCCATGCTCGTGGGTTTCGCCAAAGTGGTAAACGTCTAAGACCTACTATAATATATATAGTAGGTGGAAGATATGGGATATGGGATATCCTGTTTTACCTTATTTGTACAATGTCCCTCATTCAGTCTCTAAGGATCTATACCGAAATATCGCTTTTTACAGTATTAAAGAAGTTATTATCCATAAAATTGTGTCTACCTAGTATAGAGAGCTCCACGACACTGGATGTCACTGTGAGGAGCTCGCTTGGCTTCCCCACCGTCCCACTGCTAATCTATCTGTTAGCATAACAATTACGGTATTCAGTCAAGGGCATGGCAATGTCTAGTGATCCCATGCCATACCGGGAAGAACATTGAAGCGAGACTGTTACACAATGTGAATGATAAGTTCTTTACACAATGCCTAAGTTACGAACATATATTGCCTTTCAGTATAATCTTGCACCAGGATGCAATGACGCACCAGTGGAAAAACAGTCCACAGAGACCCTGTGTAAGAATAATTTCACTTTGTGAGACCAGTTTCACAAGAGATAGTTTGCAGGATTAGCGTGTAAAGTTTGGAAATCACGTGCAGCCTATGGTGATGAAAATGAAGACACTCTGTGGTAACACTTGACTGATTAGTTTTAATGTACATAATTCTCTATATATTTCTAGGGTTCAGGTTTCGTTTGGCGATGAATATATAAACTTGTGATGTTATAATAGGTATGAAGACAGTTGTCCGTTTAGTTTTTGTTTCACTGTGGTTTTCCAATAGTTTAAGGAATGTCATTATCAGATAATGTTTAAGTATCTGTAAAAAATGTTTATAGTTTGAAAGAGGTGACTAAGTGAAGATGACAGCTATCTTTGAACATAGTGTCACAGCAGAGAGATAGTCAAAATGTCCCTTTGGGCAGGTGCATGACACAAAGACGTTCTCACCCACGGGTCTTTTCTGTGTCAAGTATAACACAAGTCGATAAAGTTTAAAACTATGTGATTTAGGCACAAACAGATATTGTTCTGGAGTGAAAGGTCTGATTTTTGTGACATCGGATTTAATGGAACTACATTGCAGTACAGGGAAAATAGTGACATGGTGGACGTGGCTCTTTGAACTTAGAATCATGAGATTAGAGTATTAAAGAACACCTGATTCTTTCATATAAATAACGTTCATTTATCATGCCATAGTCTGGTATAGTATAATATAGTATAGTACTACCCTTGAGTACTATATATCTGACTTGGTGTGTGTGACGTGCTTTAACAAAATTAACATATAGTAAGTGGACAGCAGTTTAAAAAATCTGCATTTCTCATTTTTCCAAAATTTAAGTAAACTCTATTGCAGTGCAGGGAAAATAGCGACATGACTTTGAACGTGCATAGAATCATGAGATTAGAGTACTTTGTTGCATAAAACAGCCTCCTATGAAGGTCGTAAATGCCCCAAACCCTAGATCAGCTTACTTTAGAATGTACAAGGCTAATGTTCTGCTACTTAAAGTTTATGTATTCTTTCTGTGGCTATAACTTCCTTACCAATGTAACATGATTACGGCCTCCGTGGTCTTGTGGTAGAACGTCCGCCCCGAGAGTGGTAAGTTCGGGGTTTGATCCCCGGGTGCGTCATACCAAAAGGTGTTAAAAGATGGTACTTGTTGTTACCCTGTCTGGCGCTCAGCATTAAGGGGCTAAAACAAGAATTGGTAAGCTCAGAGTCAGTATACTGTGTCTGAGTGGGGTATTCATGTTAAACTGTGGAATGGTATGTCAGTGTCCTTGCACAATAAATCGGCATCAATCCGGACTAGTACAAGCAGCCACACACATATATGTGCAATAATCTTGGATGCGATGTTAAACCCCAAATCACTTCACCTCACCATGGTTACAGCCTGTGACTTTAGCCACTTGTAAGAAACATTTCAGTCGAATACTAGTTCATATATCAGTTTGTATATTACAACAAAAATATTTTGATAATAATGCCAACATAAAAGTTTAGTCTGTAAGACTCAACATGTTTTGGCCCAGACTGTAGTCTAGGTATTGCGCCAGATATGTTTTCGCCTTGAAGGTAACCTTCTCTGCATTAGTGTCTAGACAACTTCCTCATTCCTTAGTATAAGAATTAATTATAATCAGTTGACTGGACATTAGGTTTTGTTGTGCACGTTTACAGCAGCACGGTAATCTATTTCAGGGTGGTAATGCTTAACAGTAATGATAAAGAGCTGCATCTGTCCAAGATCATATACTTTACTTCCTTCATGCAAAATCAATTAAGTCTGTTCAGCAACACTGGTATTCTCTCCTTTAGCCTTGTAGACTACTCAATGGGGGAACAGCTGATTCTTTCATATAAATATAGTTAATCTATCATGCCATAGTCTGGTATACTTTTGTACTACAGTAAAATCAAAGAATCAGGTGTTCCCTAACTTCTTTTGAGTACTGTATATCTGACTGTATATTGGCAGGTGCTCAGTTTGTTAATAAAAACAGATGTAGTATTTGTGAACATCTGCAAAATGTTGACTGGTTAGATTACAAGCTTGACTTTGGGCTTCTGTATTGCTTACGTTGGATTAGTGTAAGATATTGAAATGTGCAGAGATGCAATATGTAACGAATTGTGTATTTAATTTCCCATATGGATCATACAATCCCTGAACTTACCGTTAGGTAAATAGTTTCTGTGTTAGTCTCGTTAATGAGGCTTTCTGAAGTAAAAAGTATTTGAATTAAATGTTACTGTTAAAAACGTTCCATTTGGGGATTTCAGAAGTGAAGATTTCTTTGAAATTGAGCTGATGGTATAGTGTGGGTTTTGAAGTTAAAAAGATGAATATTTTTAAGCAAAGCAAGTAACTGTTGGCAACTCCGAACTGTCTCTAACAAGCTGACGTTTGTTTTATTCCAGGTATCTTTGCATATTTGAACTATTTAGTGCCGAGCACTAGACGTGAGATTCTGGACATCCTCATCAACGGCCTAAAACGTCTGGAATACAGAGGATACGACTCAGCAGGTGGGTGACTTGTTTACTTTTCCTCTGTTTCCCACGTTTTGTTTGTTTCCTAGTGACATTAAACAGTTTTGAAACGACCAGTCGGGGGACCCTACCAGACAATGCGGGTTCCTCTGAGGACATGGTCAAAAGTGCAGATGGACTTCACATTTGTCCCTGTAACTGTTTAAAGCATGTATATGAGATCAAAGACGACAACAGGCTCCCTAACGATTATTTAGTTTTATCCATGAACTTTCAAATTCTGAGTAAGTGTGTAATTTCATCTTGGAGATATGGTTATTAAGTGACATTTTAGAAGCTGTAGCTTCAACTAGGACAGAGGATGTTTATGGATTTCATTTTTTTAATTTTTCGGCACTTTTCTTTGGAAGATTGAAGAAACTGAAATCCATGTTAACTTCGTCTTCGTGTTGAGGAAAGGTATAATGGTTACCATGGTTACTCATCCATAGTGTAGTGCTTCAGATTCACAGGGGTCCGGTCATTGACCCTCAGAGAGACAAATAGCCCATCATTGTAAGGAAGCTAAGCCACCTAGCTCTATATGTTCCTTGATCCTTATCAGTCTGGAACTTCCACATTACAATTGTCTTCAACATTAACTCTGTTAATAATAATAATAATTATAATATCAACAACAACAATAATAACAACAATACAGGCCTATTATTAGCAGACATGTTTTCCACAATCAGCTATTATTTATTTTTGTGTCTACATATGTGTAGCAATAGAATTTAGTCACAAGATATTTTTCAAGGTAGTCTGCCCTAATTGTCGATGGACGTAAAAAATCTTCAGCTTAAGGTTCAAATAACATCAAAAATGCCGTACACAATACACTGGTGCACGTGAAGTGGTATCTGGCTTAGTTCTAACCCTTTGGGTAATATAGCTGGATGTTACGTGTCAATCAGATCCATTGGAGCTGGTTCCAATATGTTATACATGTACGTGAAATTATTAACTGAGTCTTCACTTGTTTCATCATAGGTTTTCGAACATCATACGTTTATGGTTATTGCGATTACTCACGCTAAAACCGTGAGTGTAGCATCACACAGATATTGTAACTACTCAGATGATGGCTTGTTTACAAGAGAAAGTTGTCTTTTATATGTGAATGAGATGATTTACAGTTGTTCATGTGATAAGAGAGAAATGTTTCTTAAGTGTCCGAAAACCCATAACACGGGGATATAATATGCAAAAGTTGCACCAGGTTGTCTCCCACTTAAATTATCAAAGTACCTGTATAGTCGTGAGTTTCATGAAAGTATGTCTATGACCTGCATCAGTCTTGCTGTGCTGTCCTCCCACATCAAGATGACAAGATGTCTGAAGTGAAACTCAGGGCATTGTCAAACTCCATGTCACTCGCTCACCCAGTCTGTCATGGTGGAAACTATGAAATGTTAACCTGGTAGATAGGCAGTGATAAATAATCTTCCAAGTATTTTATTCCCAAAGTGTTAGCTTGACTTTGACTGTTGTTAATCTGTGAATTGAACTTGATTGGACTCCCCTTGTATTTTTTCTAGAAGTGGTGAAAAACATTCACTCATTCAACCTGATTATTGTGACTTCATGGTTAACCAGTGTACTGCAATTTGCTTTTCAAACGATATGGAATGCAATATTTTTCAGTGTTCAAATATTTTGGGTGAAAATTAATATGTAACAAGTTTTGAATTTATTTTATCGTTAAACCTACAATCTACACAGAAATTCATTCTCAAGTGATGTTTCCCTTTGAAATGAATTGCGAAAACGCAGAACTATTTTTCTCTCGCCTTGTTATCTCCACTGTATCCATGACTACAAAATGGCGGCGACTGACCATTTTGAGTAATATTTACTCCACTATGCACGAAACAGGATCTGCATGTACAATCAGTGTCAATCATTGTCAAACACTTTTACACCCAATATATCATAACAATCATATAATATGATAATACAGATACCTGTTTTGCAATATATCGCAATACAATTTGTTTGCAAGTACAAAGTCCTACTGATTATGTTAAAATATTACTTTGACAGATTTTGTCCTACCATGTCTGGAGGCACATTTTACAATGAAATGTAGATTTATGCAGGAGAGAACTCTGTTTACGATACAGGTGTCATATTGATCATCAATGCACAGCTTGTAAGGCATGTATGTTTTAGGCAGCACTGGAAGGCAAATGATTTCTTAAATTGTACTCGATATATATTCTTAACTATGTTTGTACTGTGAAACAGCTCATGGCAGTGCTTGGTGGAGATGAAAGAGAACACGTAGTGATTTACACGTCATGAAGGATTGTGACTTGAGTTAATTTGCTTTGATTCATTTTTTAAGATTTCTGTAATATTTTTGTCCATATTCATGGGCCAACGGATAAATTATCCATGAAAATCATTGTTCAGGGCTCAGAAAAATGGTTCTACAGTGGTTTAGGGAGCCCATATTGTTTGGAAATTGAGGGTTATTTTCATGTGATGATATGATACACAATACGTTTAACTTATTTTGTGTATCGCTACAGGATGATACACTTGCTAAAATTAATTAATACTTACTTGATACTACTGATTTAATGTCCCCAATGTTTCTGTCAGTCACATATCGATCAGTCAGACTCGATTATTTACAGACCATAGCTGGAATATTACTGAGTGCGGCGTTAAACGACTAACAAGCAATGTAAATGTAATATCGGAGTGATCCATACACTGAGTAGTAATTCTAGACATCCTGTGAAGCAGTGGAACAGTGCACTATAAATATGGATCTGTATTCTTATTGTATGAAAGGTGCTTAGGCAAGACTGTCACTCACAATGACTATAATGCTCATCATCAGGCAACAGTGCTTATTTAAAGTTCTGTATGACCCTGAGCGATACGGCCAGATATTAGGGAAACAAAAGGCCCTATTATTTCCATGTATATTGGGTTACTTGATGGTTAAATGTTCAGCTGCTACAGTAGCACTATTGCAAGCATCATAAAGTCACTCTGTCACTGATGAGGTATCAGCTTAGGAACAGTTAAATGCCTTGTGCTGTGAAGTGTGGCGACAGTGAGCTATGGAGCAAGAGATTTTCCTGTTTTGTCAACAGACAGATGTGATTTTTATTACCTGTGTACTTTAGAAATAGAAGCCTTTAGTTAAATTTGGCAAACAAAAACATGTTTGACGAGATGCTGAGACTGTGATACACTTCTTTACTAATTTTTAATATTCCCTCTTTAGGTATTTCAGTACACAAATATAATGTGACAACTAGTGAACAGATACAACATCTAGCAAGTGCACAAATATAATATATAACTAGTGAACAGCTATAATATACAAACAACTAGTGTACAAATATAATTTAGCTAGTGTATAACTAGTGCACAAATATAATATAACAACTAGTGAACAAATATAATGTATAACTAGTGAACACATCTATGACAACTAGTGAACAGATATAATATATAACAACTAGTGAACAGATATAATATATAACAACTGAACAAATATAATTTAACAACTAGTGCACGAATATAAAATATTACAACTAGTGAACAAATATAATATAACAACTAGTGAACAGAAAATAACATTTAACAACTAGTGCACAAATATAATATATAACAACTAGTGCACAAATATAATATATAACAGCTAGTGAGCAGATATAATATATAACTACTAATGAACAAATATGATATAACAACTAGTGAACAGATATAACACTTAACAACTAGTGTACAGAATGTGTCACCTGACTGGTTTGCCTGGCCCAGGAATTTTTTGTCAAAGGCCACAATGTCCACCGTGGCCCAATTTTACAATTGTTTGCTGTAATATTCAGCAGCTGTTACATCACAATATGTGTTGTATCATCAGATGTATCAGAGGGCTCTTGTATCATGAAAAGTATCATCTGGCATTGTGACGTGACACAAGTCTTATATCACCATGTGACCTAAGGGTAGAGTAGGTCTTCAGCAACACATGCTTGCTGTAAAAGTTGACTGTACTTGTCATAAGAGACGACTAACTGGATCGGGTGGTCAAGCTCGCTGACTTGGTTGATGCATGTCATCGATCCCAATTGCGTGGATCGATGCTCATGATGTCAATCACTGGATTGTCTGGCCCAGAGTCCCTTATTTACAGACTGCCTTTATATAGCTGGGATATTGCTGAGTGCAGCGTCAATTCAACAAACAACCAAACAAATATATCACCTTGTGCTTCGACGCCTGTGTCAAACTGACACAACCTGTATATGGAGGGGGAATTGACCAAGGGCGTAAATGAAACCGAGACTGACATTAAATAACAAATAAAATGACATTTGACAGTTTAGAATTTGAAAGACCCTAAGAAGGGACATCTATGTCATGTTACACTTAGGATGAATGAGTAGCTTGTCTGTATCCCCATTATATCTAGTACTAACAGCGGTTTGTGTTTCTAGGTGTTGCATTTGAGGGCAGCAATGTTGATAGCAAAGAATGTTTCATCAAGGTCATCAGACAGATTGGCAAGGTCAACATGCTGGAAGAGGCAGTACGAAGTAAGTATTTCATGACATTGCACATAGAGTATCCCAGGTTTGCATGTCGAGATCTGTGGAGCTCCATGTAGAATATACCAGGGTTGCATGTCGAGATCCACTGAGTCCCATGTAGAATATACCAGGGTTGCATGTCGAGATCCGCTGAGTCCCATGTAGAATATCCCAGGGTTCCATGTCGAGATCCGCTGAGTCCCATGTAGAATATCCCAGGGTTCCATGTCGAGATCCGCTGAGTCCCATGTAGAATATCCCAGGGTTCCATGTCGAGATCCGCTGAGTCCCATGTAGAATATCCCAGGGTTCCATGTCGAGATCCGCTGAGTCCCATGTAGAATATCCCAGGGTTGCATGTCGAGATCCGCGGAGTCCATGTAGAATATACCAGGGTTGCATGTCGAGATCCGCGGAGTCCATGTAGAATATACCAGGGTTGCATGTCTAGATCCGCGGAGTCCATGTAGAATATCCCAGGGTTCCATGTCGAGATCCGCGGAGTCCATGTAGAATATCCCAGGGTTCCATGTCGAGATCCGCGGAGTCCCATGTAGAATATCCCAGGGTTCCATGTCTAGATCCGCGGAGTACATGTAGAATATACAGGGTTGCATGTCGAGATCCACTGAGTCCCATGTAGAATATCCAAGGGTTGCATGTCGAGATCCGCGGAGTCCCATGTAGAATATACCAGGGTTGTATGTCGAGATCCACTGAGTCCCATGTAGAATATCCCAGGGTTGCATGTCTAGATCCGCGGAGTACATGTAGAATATACCAGGGTTGCAACTCGAGGTTCATTCCATTCCCATCAAAGGATCCTATGAAAAACAATCCCAGGGGTTTTGTGTATAATATCCCAGGGTTCCATATTGCAAATCCCAAGGTCAGCGATCTGCTCTTGGTACTAAGTAATAAGATGTTGAAAATTTCAGATCATGGTATGAACATGTTGACATGAAATTGATGGAATATATATATATATATATTACTGTTTTATCAGATAGTCACTCTGTTTGTGAGCATTTCCAATGACTTAACGTTTTATTCATCAGTTCTATGCCGATCAGTTTGTTTCCCTGATATTCTATTGATTGGCTACCAAGTAGCCATCTGTTGTCTCCACCAAAGATACCATATATGTCTCCTGTGTTTCAGCTGCACAGGACGTGAACTTCGAAAAGCCCTACAATGTCCATGTCGGCATTGCACACACACGTTGGGCCACTCACGGAGAACCCAGCACCCGCAACAGCCACCCACAGAGGTCAGATCCTGACAATGGTGAGTTAACATTTTTGATAGAAAAATGGCAATGCTTCCGAGAAATGAGTGTTCAAAGTTAAGCATTAACGTTCTTGTCATTTCCCAAATGTTGTTTATTGGGTCCCTAAATCAGAATACTAGAACAGAAAACCTCATGAAGTCAGGACCCCAGCTCTGTTCTACCATTCTTTGGCATGGTACTGATTATCTCCCCTTTTGCAGCAGGTGTGAAGGTCCAACTTTTTTAATGCATGGCACATTTTCATCATTGATCGGTTTATTAACTTGCTGCATTTCCTCGACAAATTGAAAGGGAAATGTTTAGAGGACCTTAGTGGCTTGGACTATTGGAGTATTGCTGACTGGCACTGTGATATAGTTGGAATATTGCTGACAATGCTATGAGACCACTCATTCACAAAGACCACAATAAATATGTTTGTAATCCTAAAGCCTTCTGCTTCACCTCATTATGCACAAGTTGATTGCGTTCCACTCAATTTTCAGTTGTAATCCTCTTTATTTGTAACAAGAAGAAAAATATTTTTCCCTCCACATTGTCCCGAAAAGAAAGAAAGAATATACATAATACATTTATAGCAGCATAGGCCTCTTGCTGTTGTAGTGATTTTATTCCTAACCTACATATGAATACTAGTTTCCTTGTGCTTATATATGTGTGGATTTATTGCTGGCAATAACTTCTATAGCCTCAGGGTTGGAAAATGTTCATTGCCCTCTGACAAGTACACTGTCAATTGTCAGCATGTCTGAAGTAGATACAACTTGTACCAAATATGTCATTGAATGTGTCTTTGGGAAGGTCCTGAAAGGCGTTTTGAAATCATGGCCAGAGTAACATAAAGAACATGCTAAATGAGACGTGTTCTCTTAAAATACTGGTGAAAGGTGTATTTCAGTGTATTATTTAGTTTATTATTTAGTTTATTATTTAGTTTATTATCTGTGACCACCATGGGGTATTACAGAGTTTCCATGAACATTAAAGGAGGCAGAATTCAACACTGGTACACTGGTACATGCTGACACTGTTGGTCACCGGTTTACTTGTCAATAGAGGGGCGGTCGGATAGCCTAGTGGTTAAAGCGTTTGCTCGTCACGCCGAAGACCAGGGTTCGATTCCCGACATGGGTACAATGTGTGAAGCCCATTTCTGGTGTCCCCCGCCGTGATAATGCTGGGATATTGCTAAAAGCGGCGTAAAACCATACTCAGTGAGTCAGTCAGTCAATAGATCTCATGACCTTGGACTCTGTATATCAGGTGGCACAGCGGGTAAGGGTTCCTTGTCACACCTAAGATCCATGTTTGATTCCCCAGAGCATATGTCCACTGTTGTCATACTGCGGGGATTTTGAACAGAAGAGTCACACACAAGGTGGAGATAGTTCGGACACACTATTGGTCACATCCAACAAATCCATACCTCATGTGCAGCTCCCCTGGTTTAGGTCTTCTGTTAGCAAATAGTTCAAACTTTCAATCGTCTTTGACTCATGGACTAGTGGGCGTGTCTATCTATGCACGCCTCAGTCATTCACCATGAAACTCTCTCTCAAGGAAACATGTCTACATCTGGGAAGTACACAAGTATTACAAAAGTACACATCTAGGACAAACTTAAGACGTGGACAATTGCGTGTGTCCTAGAAGAAGTTGACGGTATTGTTTGTTTATGGTATTGCTGTGTTTAGCAGACTGGAGCCTGCATACCTGTGTACAGTGTCTGATATATTCAGTAAACAGGTATTTGACTAAGACTCATCTACCACCTGCAATAGTATCACATTTCACCAGGTCGTCATACAACACTGACGAGTCCATGCCCTAGGTACACCTTGACATGAAAGCCTTTCTAAGTTTGCACGATTTTGTCTTTTGTATAAGATCAATACAAGTCAATGTAACTGAACGTTATTAGTTGGAAAAGGGTGCAGAAAGGCATCCTTTTATGATTTATTTTTCCTACAGTTTCCTGGTAGAATAGGTCTTCAGCAACCCATGCTTGCCGTTACAGGTGACTATGCTTGTCGTTAGAGGCGACTAATGGGATAGGGTGGTCAGGCTCACTGACTTGGTTGATGCATGTCATCGTACCCCAATTGTGTTGATTGATGCTCATGACGTCAAACACTGGATTGTCTGGTCAAGACTCGATTATTTACAGACCGCCGTCATAAAGCTGAAATATTGCAGAGTGTGGTGTTAAACAACAAACAAACTAACTTTCGGATAGTTATCCTGCCTGTTTGTAAAACCTGGCGTTATCAGTTTAGGTTACGTGTGCTACTATTGTATTTACCGTATTCGACGTAATAAGCGCTAAGGGTGCTCTCAAAATTAAAAATAGGGGTCTCATATTAGAATATTATTTTCGGGAAAAAAAACGAGTTGAAAGATAAATTTTGTGGTTTATACTGACAGCCTGAAATGTTTATGTACGACAGATATATTTTTCTAGAATTTAATTGCCCATAATTAAGGGTACATATAACACACGAGTGCGTATTGTAAGCGAATAAATAAGTCTTGTGAACATTGATCAATAGGAAGGGGTGCTAATTAGGATTGTTCACTAGCCAATATATTAGCAAATACCGCTTATTAGAGCGGGACGCTTATTACGTCGAATACGGTAAATGTAGTGACCCCTTACATCTTCAGCTCTTAACATGAGTGTTGTGACAACATCTGCCGACTTTCATGCTTAATGTTTGACAACTGAATAACATGTTGTTGACAGCTGAGTGTAAGATAAATGTAATTCTGATCTATTAAGGATGACAGCAAAATGTAAAGCAAAAAAAATATAATCTATTTTCTTCTTTTATGATGGTTAAACGTGGTTTTTTGTACAGACTTCACGAGGCAGTGGTTATAGTGTTTGATCATTGCACATGAATGTTGAGTTTGATTCCCAACTTGGTACAATGTGTGATGTACCCCTGTGATATTGCTTAAAAATTGCAGGAAGCGGCTTAAAACCATACTCACTCAAAACATGAATTCACAATACAATGGTTGTATGATCATGATCGTTGCATAACATGACAGCTAGGTGAATTACCATTGGCCCAAGTTGGAGTACTCGAAAACAGGGGTAGAATAGGTCTTCAGCAACCCATGCTTGCTGTAAAAGGTGACGATGCTTGTCGTAAGAGAGGACTAACGGGATCGGGTGGTCACAGGCTGACTGACTTGGTTGATGCATGTCATCGTACCCCAATTGTGTGGATTGATGCTCATGACGTCAATCACTTGATTGTCTGGTCCCGACTAGATTATTTACTGACCGCCGTCATATGGCTGGAATACTGTTGAGTGTGGCGTTAAACAACACCCCAATAATAACTTGATAACTTGCCCTCTGTTACACTTGTCTGGTCCAGACTTGATTATTTACAGACTGCGTCATATGGCTGGAATATTGGTGATTGTGGCGTTAAACAACAAACAAAATAAATAAAAACTTGATAACCTGCCCTCTAAAATGTTACCCTTGCCGCAATACGACTTTGTATGTCATGTCTCACATTTTGTGTTCTTGTTTTTCAGAGTTTGTGATTGTACATAATGGGATCATCACAAATTACAAAGATATCAAGTCTTTCTTGGTAAGTTACATATTTTCACACGCTTTAACATTCTGTACATGTATAATGAGAAATGGTCACAAATTATCTGAAATTGATGTTTTTCATTATTTACCCAAATCCTGTAGACACAACCTTCCAGTCGAACAGGAAGAAGACCGGCTTCTCCCTTTGAACTTATTCTGTTCCGAATATATTGGGTCATTGTACACAAATGACTTTCAGCGAACAATTGTTTACCTTGGCAAGGCCCCAACACAATATAATGGTAATATGATATAAGTAGTATAAACTAAAGCTAACTCGAACAGGAAGAGACCATGGCTTGACTTCACAATAGCTCAGTCTGCATGACAGCCTTCTTGGCAGTGTGATAGTTACGCTGAGATTTTGATCTCGGGATTTGGTTGTGTGTGTGACAGTAAAGACAGGCTGGTTTGCAAGTCCAGGCTTGTCTCTGTCGACAAGTGTCAATACTTTTGTTCTAGTTTTTCTACGGTAATATATATCACAGAAGACGAGATGTGATACAGTGCATGTTTTTCTTTCTTATTGTTGAGTAGGGTGTATTCTTGTTACAGTATTGAAATTTACGTCCCCAACTTTTGAGTGAGCCCTACTTTACTTTTTTTTGTTTTTTTGTTTTTAACTTTTTTTATTGTTACATAACTGTGTTGATAGATATAGATATTGTGGTCTAAATTCCTGTTAGGTTCACAGTTATAACATTCGTTCTGACAGCATGGACAATCATTTTCATGAAATTTTAAAAATATGAGTTTAAGCTTATGATGGTAATGTTTAATGAATATATGATGAATTTGAAAACAGGGTCATAATTGTTTTTCCTAATGAAGACACATTATTTGTCAATATTTTCATTAGGCTGAATGTCTTGTGAAAGATAATACAAGGTTTTCTGTTGGTCCATAGTCCAAGTAGTGTCGTTAGGCCTTGGCATGTGTGTGTCGTATGATAGATGATTTATGGCTACCAACCACTCATAGCAGCTCCAAGAGGTAGTAAAACTCTTGCAGTTGTTATGTATGTTCAGTTCCTGTTATATGAGGTATTATTTAATAGAAACAAGTTCTTAAAGCGGGCTGATGCTATATGTAACTGTACCCCAATCAAGATCCAATGGCATGAGTTTCTGCTTACACTCATTCACTGCATATATATTCACTATACGACTTTAGCCACTAGTCCGAAGACCAAGTCTAGTAAAACTTTAGTCTAGTAAATTCAGACAATAATAAAGCATATAACACTAAAATCTGTTGAAAATGAGGCTAAGAGCCAAGTCCAGACTAGCTGGCTCAAAATAAAAATTAACATGTATTATCATTTTTGCAAGTCCATTTTAAACATTATCCTTTCTTAAAAAACTTATGTTTTGGAATCTCCATCTGAACTTTCATGTTGTGTGCTCATGGAACAAAGGACTGGTCCCAAACATGGGAAGGGAGAGTCTGGGAATGTTGTGGTTTAACATGTTTCAGTAGAAGAAATACAATTGTGTGTGCTGTTTATACACGTTCTGGTTGACCTTATGATTTAAAAATATTCAGAGACAAGCAGGCATTTCACATCCCTACATCCCCTAATTTGCCACGACTCTCTCAACTCACGACACACAAATGGCCTTTTAATGACAGTACCTCATGTCAATCTCATTTGAAAAAATCAAGAGTTATTTTGCCACTTCAGTGGGAAAACCTGTCAATCATTCTGTATGAAATTAAACCAAAGTGACAAAACGATCTTAACAGTAAGCACTGGTTGCCTTGTGGTTAGCAATGGTTAGATGTGGTGTGTCTATAGAAATCTTTTGATATATGTTTTTTTGTTAAGATTTCTATAGACACACCACATCTAACCACAAGGCAACCAGTGCTTACTGTTAAAATCGTTTGGTCACTTTGGTTTAATTGACTCTCTAAAGCCTACATGTCAAGTCTTTAAGTTAGTCCCATTAAATTGGTGTTAAGGTTTTAAGTGATAGGTACATACAATATTTCCTGAACACACAGGAGGTAATCCTCCCCACTTTGAAGATTTGGTTGGGACCAGTTGAAAGAATTTGATATATAAGATCAAAACTGTCAAACGTCTTACAATGTAATAGATTAACATTCAGTGAGTTATATGGTGATAAATTAATGTCAGTTGCATGTTTACCATGTCCTGAAGGTTGAAACTAATTTAACTTACAGCATGCTGATACTTGTATACAGCTGAGAAGTGTGAATGTTGAAGATGTGTTGCCATATTGTGTCCCTGTCGGCTACCTTGGAGTATCCATGGTATCTGGGTTGGAATAGGTCTTCAGCAACCCATGCTTGCCATACAAGGCGACTATGCTTGTTGTAAGAGGCAACTAAGGGGATAGGGTGGTCAGGCTCGCTGACCTGGTTGATGCATGTCATCATATCCCAATTGCATGGATTGAATCTCATGATGTCAATCACTGGATTGTCTGGTCCAGACTCGATTATTTACAGATCGCCGTCATATAGTTGGACTGAGTGTGGCATTAAACAACAAACAACAACAACAACAACAACAACCCATTCTATTATAATAGTACCTGAAGCCATTCACTGCCATTCAACTAAGGCTGATACGGGTAATTCGGGTTGGGTGGGTCCCGAGTAGGACTCTTATACCATCAGGACTAAGGTAAACAGACCCGTGGTTAGTCACGTGGTATATCATTATGATAATAACCTAAAAAATCCATCCGTGTACTACAAGTTCCAAAATTTTGCATATCTATCCGACTATGCACAAATTCCTTTTGACTTTTTAAGTTTGTGAAAAGACAAAGCTTCAGTGTATGCATGATCAGATCGTTTTATACATGTATCTTAATAGATTTTGCTAGGGCTCTGGCAAAATAATTCACAATCGGACATTTTGTTCCCAACTCTTGAGACCTACAGCGGAAACCTGGGTAGGGTCGGGTCATAGGGGGTCGGGTCATAGGGGGTTGGGTACCCGTGTAGTAAATTTTGACTCGTCCCAGCCCCCAATTCAACCACAGCACTTTTACTCCGATTTGAATAACACATATGTGCAAGGGAAGTGCTGTGGAAAGACCTAGAGAAGGAGATGGTCAGGTGTCAGTTCCCACACCAAGCTGTATGGGAGAAACTTGTGCCGGGTATTTATCATAATAAGATGAAGCTATCATACACTAGATAGTGGAGGATGCTGATTTGTGTGTCACCAAACAATGTATTATTATGCCTCTGTTAAGAATTTTGCAATTTCATTAGTTAATACATACTGCGGAATGAAACACTAAATTTCAATGTAGACTCCCAAATCAGGTAACTGACACTGGCCTTGAATATTAACTGGTTGAAGCAGTCGCTCGTCACACCGAGGACCCAGGTTCGATCCCACACATGGGTAAAATGTGTGAAGTCCATTTCATATTGCTGGAATATTGCTAAATACGGTTTATAACCATACTCACTCACTCACTCACTCACTCACTCACTCACTCACTCACTCACTCATTGTTTCAGGAAAACAAGGGCATGAAGTTTGAGTCGGAGACTGACACCGAGGTCATCGTGAAGCTGGTGAAACACTTATGGGAAACACACAAGACCTCCAAGATCACATTCAGGGAGCTGGTTGAGGTCGCTATTCAACAGTTGGTGAGTAACACATTGTATGGTTAAAGCTTCCACTCGTCCTGCCAGTGGGCCTGGTTTGTAAACCCTGCTCACTCTCTTTCTCACACCATTTTCTGTGAGGGCACCAGGTTACTCTTTCAGCCCGTTTGGACATGCTCTTTCAGTTGACTATAGGAGCTGGATATGTATCTGATGAACAGTGGGTATTGATAGTTTGTAATATTGAAGTTGATCTTCCATACTAGCTTGTCATCAATTCCTTTGGACTGATCCACCAGCCAGAGCCAGGGCTCTTCACTGACCCACAAGGCAGTATTGTTAGGCACTTATCAAGGTAGATCTTGTCATCAATTCCTTTGGACTGATCCCACAGTCAGGCCTCTTCACTGACTCACAAGGCAGTATTGTTAGGCACTTATCAAGGTAGATCTTGTCATCAATTCCTTTGGACTGATCCCACAGTCAGGCCTCTTCACTGACTCACAAGGCAGTATTGTTAGGCACTTATCAAGGTAGATCTTGTCATCAATTCCTTTGGACTGATCCCACAGTCAGGCCTCTTCACTGACCCACAAGGCAGTATTGTTAGGCACTTATCAAGGTAGATCTTGTCATCAATTCCTTTGGACTGATCCCACAGTCAGGCCTCTTCACTGACTCACAAGGCAGAATTGTTAGGCACTTATCAAGGTAGATCTTGTCATCAATTCCTTTGGACTGATCCCACAGTCAGGCCTCTTCACTGACCCACAAGGCAGTATTGTTAGGCACTTATCAAGGTAGATCTTGTCATCAATTCCTTTGGACTGATCCACCAGTCAGGGCTCTTCACTTACTCACAAGGCAGTATTGTTAGGCACTTATCAAGGTAGATCTTGTCATCAATTCCTTTGGACTGATCCACCAGCCAGAGCCAGGGCTCTTCACTGACTCACAAGGCAGTATTTTTAGGCACTTATCAAGGTAGATCTTGTCATCAATTCCTTTGGACTGATCCACCAGCCAGAGCCAGGGCTCTTCACTGACTCACAAGGCACTAATCAAGGTAGAGACATGGATGGTCCAGTCGTCTAAGGTGCCACAATTCACTGTGCATACAAGAAACATGATCATGGATTCAAATCCTGGTTCGCCTCATTTATGTTTCTAGGTCTGTCCCACCCTGGGTTTCACTAAGTGGTAAACGTCTGAGACCTGCATCACTTCGGGCTTTCTGCCCATATGAAGCTGACACACTGTAAAATAACTGGATTACTGTTTGCTCAAAGCAGTGTTAAATCCAGTTCACTCACTTACTGGTACTTGTCACGCATGTCCCCGCTCAGCCTTACTGTCTGCAATCTTGTTCTCTATATCCAGGATCAGGGTGCATTTCCTGTTCGTTATTCAGTGGTAGTTGTCTTCTCCTTCATAATGGCTGAACCTTGAATAATTTTAGTCATGTGTGACTGATTATTTCTGACATTCCACACCCAAACCGTGTACCTTTGTTGATCAATTATCATTTTGATTGACTTTTCCAACCAGTCCTAGTTCTTGTATTCATGTCAAGCAGAAATGTTTTCATCGGCAATTAGCAATTATTTCATGGCAACAGGCATACCATTAGTGGTAGCAGGTTTTTTAGAAGATTCAGTTGTGAAACGCCCCAAGCATTGTCCAATTTGGAGAAGCATTAAAAGATAGCTGCTGGTGAAGATGATGGCGATGATGACATGATGATGCAGAAACGTTAATGACATCAAACTTCAGAGTTTTTTGGAAATTCATTTTGTCATAATTTGTCTTCTTACTGTAAATATTCAGACCTAATGCAAGTTTCAGTGTAAAAACTCAGTGACCAGGGCCCAGGTCCACAAGTGATCACAGAGCCAGGACTATAATAAGCCTATTTTAAAGTATGGGAGTTACCATCACCTTAGCGCTTACCATCACCTTAGCGCTAAGATATACTTTCCCGCTGCTGATTGATATAATTATATGATTTTTCCTTCCCAAGAAGCCTGTCCTTTGTACGTTATGTTGTTGCATTGATACAAGACTTCATTACGCTTAAAGCAAACCTGTGTGTCTCATTCCTCAGCACAGGGTAGTTGTTACTACCACATGTTGTGAAAGCAGTAGCGCTTCTCGTCTGACAACAGCTTAATGCATGTCATGTCATCCTGAACTGGGTACATAATAGGGTATGTGAGGTAATCAAAGCTTAAATGTAGACCCTCTGTAGGCTGGTTTCAATGTAGACCCTCTGTAGGCTGGTTTCAATGTAGACTCTCTGTAGGCTGGTTTCAACAGGCTAGGTACTGATATGTTGAAAGCTTCCATTCAAACCAGGCACTCTGTTTTAAGGCCGTCTTTCAAAGTCTTGTCTTTTGTGTAAGCTAACACATGCAAACCACTCTTATCAAGTTACTTACCAGAGACACGATGGCCCAAGACTCTCTACCTTTGTGGTATGTCTTTAGTTACTGTAGTAATCTAATAAGTTAGGGACAACCAAATCCTGCATATTTGTTCTTTCCAGTTAATGCACAAGTGAAATAGGAATGTTACCTTAGAGATTTGTGTTTTTTTGTGACTAGCCCAGAACTTTATTTCACTCGTCCTCAGAGTTTGTTGCCAGTCCTGCTTGACCGAGATAAAACTGATATCAGGACCTGAAAGGATACTTTGCCCATGTTTGGTGTCCCCAGCCATGTTACTTGAACAGGTGTAGCAGCAAAAATATTCACTATAGTATTTATTAACATTTAGTTTAAAACTGGTTTCTGACTTGATAAATTCTAGTGTATATTCAGTAGATGAAACAAGAATGAAACATTTAAGTGAGAAAAAATGTTGTCAAGTCTACAATGTGACTAATGATACTATATAGTTCAGCAAATTGCAACTTTGAAAAGTCATTCACGTTGATAATAATTTGACTGTTTCTGTGCATATTTGGTTATCCTAGCCCTCGGCTCCAGAAGCAGGACATGGAGCTGGTTATATGTATGTCAGGAAGTGGGGTCTTCGTGAGTGTTTGTGCCTCATATCTACTGCTAATAACAAATCGTGTTTCCAAATTTTTGTGACAATTTTTAGAAATATGGAGGAACAGATACAGACATTAAAAAGTTTTCTCATCTGAGAAGTCGGAAAAACCTCAGACGATAATATTTACAAACGAAAGGACAAGATTTTCGAAGTTCTTCCGCGTCTGTTGCGTATTTGACTTACGAAAGGAGGAAGTATGTTCTTTGAATAATATGATGTGAGGGGGATAGCCTGGCAGACCAATATTGCATCGTGATCAGTAAAGCAAATTTGTCTAGAGATAGAATGGAATGTGATTGGTGGAGAAAGGGACATTAAGTCCTCGGCGCTTGGATGTTGTTTGACCACAACCCCGACCGCTACATGTACAAATATCTCACGTGACTTCAAAGTGGAACTTGTGATCGGCTTAGGATGGCAAGCATCTTGCTATGCTCTGTTTCAAAATTGCTGAACAATTCAAAGTTTGGAAATATTAATTTTGTTTGGCATTCATTCAGTGCCTTAGTCTCTATGGTAACTATGTCATGTTGCAAGATTATGTATATATGTGTTGAATAAAGAACTAATTATAATTAATAAGTTTCAATGATTTCATCATTCTTGTTTTACTTTCACAATATGAAGCTTTACTTACCTCAAAGATAACTAGGATATACCCCAGATATAACCCCCAAACATGCCTAGGATATACCCCAAATATGCCTCAGATATACTTGAAATATACATAGGATATATCCCAAATATGCCTCAGATATACTTCAAATATACCTAGGGTATACCCCAAATATGCCTCAGGTATACTTCAAATATACTTCAAATATACTTAGGATATACCCCAAATATGCCTCAGATATACTTCAAATAAACTTCAAATATACCTAGGATATACTCAAGGGCATGATTTAAGCATGGGCAAATGTGATGATGCTCAACAAAAATATGTAATAATATATGGCCTTGTCTTTCTCCAGGCACCTCTGTATTGCTTGTTCAACCTTTCCCTAAAAACACCCCTCTGGCCCGGTGAATACTTGTAATATCATACCACTGTGCCGGGGCATACACCTGTAATATTGTACCACTGTGCCCTGAAGTATAAATGTGATATTCCATTCTGCTCTTGTTGATACAAGTAATATCCTATCACTATGCCCTGAAGAATAAATGTGATATTCCATTCTGCTCTTGTTGATACCAGTAATATCCTATCACTATGCCCTGAAGTATAAATGTGATATTCCATTCTGCTCTTGTTGATACAAGTAATATCCTATCACTATGCCCTGAAGTATAAATGTGATATTCCATTCTGCTCTTGTTGATACAAGTAATATCCTATCACTATACCCTGAAGTATAAATGTGATATTCCATTCTGCTCTTGTTGATACCAGTAATATCCTATCACTATGCCCTGAAGTATAAATGTGATATTCCATTCTGCTCTTGTTGATACATGTAATATCCTATCACTATGCCCTGAAGTATAAATGTGATATTCCATTCTGCTCTTGTTGATACCAGTAATATCCTATCACTATGCCCTGAAGTATAAATGTGATATTCCATTCTGCTCTTGTTGATACAAGTAATATCCTATCACTATGCCCTGAAGTATAAATGTGATATTCCATTCTGCTCTTGTTGATACAAGTAATATCCCATCACTATGCCCTGAAGCTTTTCAGAATGTAATTGTTAGTAGGTGAATTTCTCGATCGGCTGATGTGCAGTCATGATCTAGCAGTAGTAATATATGCAAACGTTTTATCTAATAGTAATATATGCATTAATTTTATTTCAATAGCATATTTATACTTTTTGCTGTGTATTTGATATGCTAGGATTTTTTTGTCTGCATATTTAAGTTTATTTAATATGTATTTTACGTAAATAGGCAGCTTACCTGGTATCTCTAGCGCTGAGGTTAGGATCAAGGGGGGACTAGAGATGCAGTGGGGAGGTGGGGGGGGGATGCTTCATTGTTGGATTCTTCTGATGACCTCCTGGCCACTGCACTTATGTATGACGTGTGGCAGTAAGGTGCAAGACAGCCCAGTCTTCGATTGGAATGAGGAAGTCTTTCACAGGTCATTTAATCCTCATCCCAACTGAGAGTCTTTATTCAGCCATAAGTAATTATGCAAACATGAAACTTGTTTGTAGCACATTATCATTAACTCATAAATAAAGTATACAAAGGGATGATCAAGGACGGTTGGGGCTGAGTGCTGGTATGGCTACTTAGAGGAGGAGTTCCATTCAATCCCAGCCTTGTGGGGTCCAAATTCATTACGTTGAACTCAACTTGTTCAGTTGGAAAGCATGGAACCTTGGTAGTGGTTGATTTTAGACAAAACCATCATGTACGTTTGAACAAGAACATCTCTGAGTCTTACCCCAAAAATATTTTATCAGATGGTAGTTATTAGACCTGGGACGGGTAACTTGGGTACTCGGGTACTAGGGTACTAGGGTCGGGTGGGTACTGAGTAGGACCCAGGTACCCACAGGACTACCTGGACCTGTGGTTAGTCACGTGATATATTGTTTAATGACAAAAAGTATCTGAAACTCTATGTTTAAACTACAAGTCAGTTCTTCCTGACTACTACGCCCATTCCTTCTGACTTTTATATGTTTGAATAAAAATAAAAATTCAGTCAACTTCAGTGTACCAGTATTCACAAGAGCCTTTCATACATGTATCTAAACACATTTTACCAGAGCTACTGTCATACTTTTCCCAATCGGACAGTTTGTACCTATCTCTTGAGACCTACAGTGGGTACCCGGGTAGGGTCGGGTAATAGGGTGGTGGGTACCCGGGTAGTAAATTTGGACTCGTCCCAGCCCTAGTAGTTATAGTGTCCTCCCTTGCTTTAATGGGATAAAACAAGGACTGGTCTGCTCAGTGTCAGTATACTGTGTATGAGTGGCGTGCCGAGGCAAGGGAGTTAACTGTCTCTAAAAAGTCCAGTTCCCAAGGCAAGGGATTTTACAGACTATAAAAGTCCAGTTTCCACCCTTGCCGAACCAGGCTATTCTGAGTTATGTCCCTTATAATAAAGTCCCTATTGACCAATCATGTTCCACTAAACAAAATGGCAGCACCCAGTCAAGACGATCTGATAGATATAAACAAGATCTACATTGTAATAATTACCCTGAAAAGTGCATCAAATCACATGAGCACCTTGATTAGAAAGATGAAAAGATTTGCAAAATATCTGCCGACACCCAGTTGGCAGTTAAATATTGACGATTATCAACATGAAAATTGTGTCATCGATAATACCTTACATAAACTATTGTGATGAAATAAAGTTTAGATTTACCAAAACAGACTTTTATTGTCAAAAAATTTAATAGCTGAAGATGGAAAGTAACTGGTTTTGTTATGTCTCAAATATCCACAAAGTTAAATCCCTGAATAAATGTGCCACCTCTCACCAGTGGAGTAATATATGTTGATTTCTTTAGGACATTTTTTCCGTAAATACTCAAAGATACTTCTCCGATATTTATCGATATTTGATCGATATTTTGTTAACGATTATCGATCCATATGATCTGTATCGATAGGTAGACCTAACAGTCAGTGTTATAACAACGTCACGGCTTGGCCTCTCAAGAAACAAGTCTATACCAGACGGACCAATGATTTGAGTAACAATGCACTCTATCATGACACGTTACACAATTAACAATCTCAGATTCTTTCCTCATAATCCATTTTAGCAGACTCTTGCAAAAAGCTGTTACTGTAGACCAATTCTAGCCCGGAATCAGCAGTCACATTGAAGGATACTGGTATATACATCTTTATTCATTGAGAATTCCATGCGAGGGGCACGTTTTGTTCCCCTTAGCTACCAGGATCCGCTCCAGGATTCTCCACAATGTTGGTCCTTGATCTGTCGGCACCATTCTTGTGATTGTGGATTTGGACAAAGTGGTAAACATCGAATTCACCTATTAGTGTCTTTGGCTTTTACTCGCATACATATACTCGCATACTTATAACGAACGAACTGAGAAACTGTACCCAACACCAGATGGAGATGAAACAAGAAGAGAGGTTCAGTATGTTAGTCACTAGCGTCAAGAGTAAGTATACTAATCAACTTATGATAAGGATTTCTGTTATTTCTTGATATACAGAAAAATCCTGTCAATGTTGACTAATATATTTTCACACTTCAAACTTGTTAAAAACGCAATTTATCAAAATATTTTAACTTCTATCTCATTTCCCATAATAAAAACAAATACACTGAATTTATAAAATCTTCACATATGTCACGGAGCTGTGAGGGCGCCGGAGTGTCATTAAACAAGAATAAAGTTATAATGAAAGAGTGGTACTAGGTTCACAGGTTTAGTACTAGCAGCTAATTGCATCTATAGGGGACAATGTAAGGGATAAAAAATCCAATTCACACTGACAATAATCACTGATTAATTAAATCAGAGCAAACACACAAGTGGCTTGGCTAATCAACCTTATTACAGTAATAAAATGTAAAAACAGTAATAATGTAGGTCTTTGTAAGGCATTTAGAAGTGATACACATAAGGAAGAGAATATATGGATGTCAACTTCTTTATTATGAGGAACACAACGTTTCGGAGTATATGCTTACTCCTTCATCAGGTGAATCATTATTTATTATGAGGAACACAACATTTGGGAGTATATGCTTACTCCTTCATCAGGTGAATCATTATGAAGGAGTAAGCATATACTCCGAAACGTTGTGTTCCTCAAAATAAAGAAGTCCATATATTCTCTTCAGTAATAAAGTAGCTAAAACAACACTTTGACAAGATTTTGACAAGTTGCATAGACAGTCAGTTAAGTCGGCTGTGACCAGTTAACACCTGACTTAATGAACTCGACACCTCGGCTGGCTTAAATGGCAGGAAATATACGCATAGGACCTATCCCTATTGGACAGTCTCTTGGACAAGAAATAAGACGGAAATCGCCTGAATATCACACCAGTCTAATAGACTAACGTCTCAGTCACTTGGACTGGTCAAGGGAATTCTAAACTTTCTGAAGATATGAGGTACTTGACCTACAGAGTCACTAGGCCCACAGACCCGTGAAGATTCCGGGGTAGATTAGGTCTTCAGCAACCCATACTTGTCGTAAAAGGCGACTAACGGGATCAGGTGGTCAGGCTTGCTGACTTGGTTGATAAATGTCATCGATCCCCATTGCGTAGCTCGATGCTCATGATGTCAATCACTGGATTATCTTTTCTCGACCGCTGTCATATACAGCTGGAATATTGCTGAGTGCGGGGTTAAACAACAAACAAACAAACACTAGGCTCACAATCATTAAAAAGGTACTTGACCAAAGAGTAACTCAACTTAACAGGTACTTCAACTAAACTAGACAATCATGGGAGGGTTGGTTATCAATGGATTACGAGAAAAAGGGAGTATGTAAAACCCTAGCTAATAAGTTTAGCTCGATACAATCAGAATAAGTCAGTACTAGGTTAACACGCAGCCCTGTAATAACTAACAAACAAAACCTCAGTTTTCGAATGACCCCCGGTAGCGTGACGACCCGTAAACGGTCTAACAGAGCCTGGGGGTAGAGACACATGATTTTGACAAGGGTTTTATACATGTGCACAGGCGTCGGAGAGGACAACCTTTCCTGGTGGGCCAATGAGTGCAATAGTCTGACGAGCTTAGCTAAGTGTGTTTCTTAACATAGGGAAAACCTGTACTGAACTAAAGTCCTGAACATAAGCTATCTGACGGCATCACAAAAGATTTACAACCAGATATGTACAATTATTGAGGTGGCAAAAATGACCATAAACACAGGAGAAATATCTACAAGTAATAGATAATCCCGCTAATGTGTGAAAATGAATGTCACAAAAACATTTCCGACACATGAATAAGGTCGCGAACATACATGATAAGTATGCCATTCAATTGCTAGAGAATAAACTATACGGGGTCACTAATTCTCGAGCAAAGAAGGCACTGAACAATGACAACTGCTGGACTTTGCCAAAAGGTGACGGAGGCTGGACAATAGAGGAGAGGTGTGGTTTGGTCATTAGGCTGTGACTAAACTGGAATTTTGACCCAGTGATATATTTAATAATGTTTGCATTTTTTTCCAGGAGGGAGCATTTGCCCTGGCAATGACAAGCACACATTTCCCTGGAGAGATCGTCACAACAAGGTGGGTTCCTGTTCCACATGACCATAAATCTTTCATATGAGCTGCACCACAAAGATCTTTTTTATATATTTACAGGCTTTGCATCATTTTGATACAGAAATGAACGGTCATGGAAATAGTCATTGTACTAGACTAACAAATTTTTCCTGAAATATATTAAGTACTTGTAATTGTATAAGGGAACCTTAAGTCTTTTAATGTCAGAGCTGAAAGGGGGTGAGTACCGGTATAGGCTGTAAGAGCTGAGAAGGGGACGTACACTGGCTGTAAGAGCTGAGAAGGGGACGAGTATGAGCTGCTAGAGCTGAGAAGGGGATGACTGTGGGTTTCTAGAGCTGAGAAGGGAATGACTGTGGGTTGCTAGAGCTGAGAAGGGGATGGGCACAGGCTGCTTAGAGCTGAGAAGGGGGTGAGTATAGGCTGCTTAGAGCTGAGAAGGGGGTGAGTAACGGTATAGGCTGTAAGAGCTGAGAAGGGGATGAGTATAGGCTGCTAGAGCTGAGAAGGGGATGAGTATAGGCTGCTTAGAGCTGAGAAGGGGGTGAGTACCGGTATAGGCTGTAAGAGCTGAGAAGGGGAATAGTATAGGCTGTAAGAGCTGAGAAGGGGGTGAGTACCGGCATAGGCTGTAAGAGCTGAGAAGGGGACGTACACTGGCTGTAAAAGCTGAGGAGGAGACGAGTATGAGCTGCTTGAGCTGAGAAGGGGATGACAGTGGGTTGCTAGAGCTGAGAAGGGGATGACTGTGGGTTGCTAGAGCTGAGAAGGGGATGACTATAGGTTGCTAGAGCTGAGAAGGGGATGACTATAGGTTAGAGCTGAGAAGGGGATGACTATAGGTTGCTAGAGCTTAGAAGGGGATGACTATAGGTTGCTAGAGCTGAGAAGGGGATGACTATTGGTTGCTAGAGCTGAGAAGGGGATGACTATGGGGTGCTAGAGCTGAGAAGGAGACGAGTATGAGCTGCTAGAGCTGAGAAGGGGATGATTATAGGTTTCTAGAGCTGAGAAGGGGATGACTGTAGGTTGCTAGAGCTGAGAAGGTGATGACTATTGGTTGCTAGAGCTGAGAAGGAGACGAGTATGAGCTGCTAGAGCTGAGAAGGGGATGACTATGGGTTGCTAGAGCTGAGAAGGGGATGACTATAGGTTACTAGAGCTGAGAAGGGGATGACTATGGGTTGCTAGAGCTGAGAAGGGGATGACTGTGGGTTGCTAGAGCTGAGAAGGGGATGACTATGGGTTGCTAGAGCTGAGAAGGAGACGAGTATGAGCTGCTAGAGCTGAGAAGGGGACGACTATAGGTTACTAGAGCTGAGAAGGGGATGACTATGGGTTGCTAGAGCTGAGAAGGAGACGAGTATGAGCTGCTAGAGCTGAGAAGGGGATGACTATGGGTTGCTAGAGCTGAGAAGGGGATGACTATGGGTTGCTAGAGCTGAGAAGGGGATGACTGTGGGTTGCTAGAGCTGAGAAGGGGATGACTGTGGGTTGCTAGAGCTGAGAAGGGGATGACTTTAGGTTGCTAGAGCTGAGAAGGGGATGACTATGGGTTGCTAGAGCTGAGAAGGGGATGACTATGGAATGCTAGAGCTGAGATGGGGACGGACACAGGCTGCTTAGAGCTGAGAATGGGGCTTCATCTAGAATTTATCTAGGATTCCTTGGCAGGCAAATTGAGAAAAAATAAGTTACCATGCTTGTTATTTTCTTAGCTTGCGTAAGTTCCGAGGTATTTTAACATTGTATTCAATGCAACAATGAAAAACTCAGCATTAAACCGCCCCCTCTTTTTGGTCAGTGAAATACAAGGCACCTCTATAAACTCATAACATTAGTAATAGTGCCTGTGTTAACCATGAACTGGAAAATTCATAATAGCTGATATTTTCTTCTCACCTTGGGCTGAATTAATCGGCCTCCGAGAAGGCCGAGATAGATTCCTGAGGAGAGACTGCCAATGTAGGTAAATGCAGTTGTCTCTCATGTATTATGCATTCGTGCACATTCAAAAGTTACAGACCCATGCACACTCATGCATATTACCTGCCATGGTTTCCTTTCTGAGAATAGCCTGAAATGCTAGATAGGGAGCATTGAGTACATATTGCATGGTTAGACGCATATATATATTTAGATCAATTGAGGCAAGATCAATCCTAAGAAAGGCCTTTGATCAAGTATTGTATGTATTGGGGGCTCCCATTCTACCAGGAAGAAAGTGACTACAATGACACGTACATATAAGGTGGTTCTGGGTTTCTGTGTCAAGAGTGTATTTGTCTATAGTTTAGGAACTGTCAGGTTCATTATGAAACATTACTTTACTTGTTAACAATGTACCTATCTAGGAGTAACTAGACCTTAATTACTCAGATATGGTCAATATGGTAATTTTACACACATCAATAACTACATGTGGAAACCAAATTGTAAATGGCCCTTTGACAAGAGAAACACGACACATAAGACACCTTCAACACCGTGCATGTATTTGATGGCAGGACATCTTTAACTAGAGAAACATAACACATAAGACACCTTCACCTCTGTGCATGTATTTGATGGCAGGACATCTTTAGCTAGAGAAACACGACACATAAGACACCTTCACCGCCGTGCATGTATTTGATGGCAGGACATCTTCAACTAGAGAAACACGACGCATAAGACACCTTCACCGCCATGCATGTATTTGATAACAGGACATCTTTAACTAGAGAAACATAACACATGAGACACCTTCACCTCCGTGCATGTATTTGATGGCAGGACATCTTTAACTAGAGAAACATGACACATAAGACACATTCACCACCGTGCATGTATTTGATGGCAGGACATCTTTAACTAGAGAAACAAAACACATAAGACACCTTCACCGCCGTGCATGTATTTGATGGCAGGACATCTTTAACTAGAGAAACACGACACATGAGACACCTTCACCTCTGTGCATGTATTTGATGGCAGGACATCTTTAACTAGAGAAACATAACACATAAGACATCTTCACCGCCGTGGATGTATTTGATGGCAGGACATCTTTAACTAGAGAAACATGACACATGAGACACCTTCACTTTTGTGCATGTATTTGATGGCAGGACATCTTCAACTAGAGAAACATGACACATAAGACACCTTCACAACCATGCATGTATTTGATGGCAGGACATCTTTAACAAGAGAAACACGACACATAAGACACCTTCACCTCCGTGCATGTATTTGATGGCAGGACATCTTTAACAAGAGAAACACGACACATAAGACACCTTCACCTCCGTGCATGTATTTGATAACAGGACATCTTTAACTAGAGAAACATGACACATAAGACACCTTCACCTCACTGCATGTATTTGATGAAACACGACACATAAGACACTTTCACCTCCGTGCATGTATTTGATGGCAGGACATCTTAAACTAGAGAAACACGACACATAAGACACCTTCACCTCACTGCATGTATTTGATGGCAGGACATCTTTAACTAGAGAAACATAACACATAAGACACCTTCACCTCACTGCATGTATTTGATGGCAGGACATCTTCAACTAGAGAAACATAACACATAAGACACCTTCACCTCCGTGCATGTATTTGATGGCAGGACATCTTCAACTAGAGAAACACGACACATAAGACACCTTCACCTCCGTGCATGTATTTGATGGCAGGACGTCTTTAAATAGAGAAACACGACACATAAGACACCTTCACCTCCGTGCATGTATCTGATGGCAGGACATCTTTAACTAGAGAAACACGACACATAGGACACCTTCACCGCCGTGCATGTATTTGATGGCAGGACATCTTTAACTAGAGAAACACGACACATAGGACACCTTCACCGCCGTGAATGTATTTGAGGGCAATGTCCCTTTAACTGGAGACACGTGACACATTTGACACCTTCGCCCCTTTTAACATTTGCAACCTGCTTAAAATCCCTGAAGGTTGAATTCTTTGTTAAATGAGGAATTCACTAAGGTTAGGAGATCAGTAAGTGGGTATCAAATTACCGTAGTTTACGCGTAAATTGAAGATGTAGGTAAACTGCCAGAATGTCCCAGTGTGATATTCATTGTTGGTAATATAACACATATCAAGGCAGTTGGAATATGTTCCCCATACATTATTAGAGGCTATCTGGTTTCGCTCATTTTCACTTATTTTGTATTCTAGACGAGGAAGTCCACTTTTAATCGGCGTAAAGAGTCGGGCCAAGCTGACAACTGATCACATCCCCATCCTGTACAGCAAAGGTGAGAACATGTCTGATACACCTGCCTCTTAAATATGTTCGGATGTTGCAATGTGTGACCTGGCTGGTTGTGTGTTATCTGACGGTGACCCCTGGGTCGATGCTCCTGGTATCAACCAATGGTTTGTCTCACCCAGGTTGTTGTGTCTGGGCCAATATGGTTGTAGTTGATGTTGGAGTAGAATTGCATTCACGTGACTGATTTACCTCAACCAGGAATAGCAAGATCTTCATATGGACATGTTTTCTTTCAAGAGGTAACCCCTTGTTCCCTTCGCTGGTACCTTAAAATAACTGGCAGTACTTTGCACAGGATGTCTACATCTGGTGTGGACAATGCAAACTTCTTGTCTTTTCAGTATTGTTTAGTACATTCTAAAAACCAAGATTCAAAAATGGACAAGTAAAATAACTGAGCCTTACCTATACCATGCTTGACTTTAAATTGAAAGGAATTACTGATCAATGTGAAGTTAGTTAGACATGGTACCAGTAACATATACTACTCAAAAGAAGTTAAGGATCACCCAATTTTTTCATATTGGTAATGTTAACCTGTCATGGCATGAGAGATTAACTTTTGTAATATGAAAGAATCAGGTGATCCTTAACTTCTTTTGAGTAGTATATTACAAGTATCTGTCACTGATGGGGCTGAAATTGAAGGTCATGTCACAGTACATACAAAAAATACACCAATCTTCTTTGATTTTCTTATAACTCAGCCAGCTTTGACGTAAAAGGTAAAATGTTTAATTTGAAGAAGAACATTAAGTTAGCCATATGTTATTGTAGATTTATCTATAGTTGTTTTGAAGTCTTGACATGGTGTATTTTCTTGATAATTGCATGTGCCCATTTCATACTAATATATTTTTTTACGAGTCCATGCTATGTTTTGTTGTTGAGAATGCATGTAGTTAACAAAAGCATATGAAAAAACAGTCAGATTTTTGTCGTCTAAGTATTTGGCGTGACACCTTCGTGGAGACCCTATATGCACAGAATTCGGGACAAAATGCATGATTATCGCAAATAGCATAACAATCAGAATAGTTAGTTCATTTGAAGAGTACAGTAAAGTTATGTTTACAAAAAGAGAAGCCTACTGCCTGTGTGGGGTCAGCTGTGATCTGATGAATGTGCTGTGACAATGTGTGACAATGTGTCACAATGACATTCCCAGCACTCGGTGTGAAGCCTAAAAATAACATGTATTATGTTTATGGTGCTGATATCATAGATGTATTTTAAATGTGTCTTAATTGAGAAAATATAACTTGAATGTTAAGTATATTTATTTTTGACACATACATTTAAAAGTTGACGTTCTGGGATGTGTTCCTCAAAGTGCTCGTCTATCGTAGGACAGATTCTTAACATACAGGGCATTACGGAAGTCGTGCTAAGATCTAGAGCTGTATTTCGGCAAAGATATTTAATTGCACTTCCATGTTTCCACGTTTTGTCAATCTACTTTGAAGGGAAACATTTGTGAATATATTTCTGTGTGGTCAGGCTCGCTGACTTCATTGATGCATGTCATCGTATCCCAGTTACGTGGAATGATGTTCATAATGTCAATCACTGGATATTCTGGTCCAGATTTGATTATTTACAGACTGATGTCATACAGCTGGAATATTGCTATGGCGAACAAAACGAACATTCCCTGCAAACACTTGACGACCCTCATGTGATCTGCTACGTGGCTTTATAATGAATTTTCATGTTGGTTTGCAGGACTTTTCAGTTTTAATTCTTTTCATTTGATTGCTGCACATTGTGATCCTTGTTTTTTCCAGGTTAGATTAGTAGCATTGTGATATCTCCGTACGGCTTGCACCTCATTTTTTAACTAACCATATCTTCCTCCGTCTTACGCATGCAGGTTTTAAAGATTTGACGTCTACGGAAGGTACACAATTCTAGCATTTTCTCCGCTGTTATCTGTCTTATACAGCTCAGAGCATGGCTTTTTTTCACTTCACATATAAAACTCAAAACTTAGGACTTCAATTAATTAGTTAATTTAATGGAAAATCGGCTTCAAATGTGTTGATAATGGGAGATGTGGTTTATATTAATGAGGGATTTTAACAGAAACCGCTGTTTTAATCTGAACAGGTGGGTCGGCCAGGGCTTGTGGATATGAAGATCAACCTAATGAAAGTATGATTGGTTTGGTGCCAAAGTTCTGTCGTTATTAATATTTTCGCAAGCCGATGTATCGCAAAAAATTAACTTGAACTGAATATAAATATAATTTTATTTTTTTTAAATCTGATTTTTTCTTTTTTCTTAAAGAAATATTTTATTGATAGTATTTTTGTAAATGTAATCTATATTATGCCAGGTTTAATGCTGATTGTAGGATTCGCTTGTCTACTTTGTGTGAAATTTTGCTTAGCTTTCATGTACAAGATTATAGCATGAAGCATTGACATGATGGCTGCTTTCCTAACACATCATACTAACACTTATTTCCACTTTTCCACAATGTCTGGCTGGAGTAACAAGCAATGCAGCATCTTTTGGTGATGCTTGGATGGTTTGTTGCAGTTTGGAGTGGAAATAAAAATCGTTATTGTGTTGATTCTGTCAATTTGGACATGGATACAAGCATTGCTGGTATTGTATGATGACAATAGGCGAAACCTGTCCGACCGCCCCTCCCCACCCCAATGTTACAATGCATCATGGGATACCAGCAATTCTTGGCATTCTTATGTTTAAATGACAGAACGCCTCAATAACACATGCAACACAGAAAAGAATACTGTTTTTCAAAGAATTTGTAATTTGATATTTTCTTTTCGAAATCAACACTGGGACATTTCTGAAAATGGGAGAAAATCAAACAATGTTGCATCTATGTCTTCAAATGATTCTAATCCTTCGGCTGTCTATTTAAGGTGACCATCGAGGGTTTGTGGGCTCAGCACATCGTAACGAGGATCAGACTGAGTTTCATCCCGTAGGACCAAACAAAGAGGTGGAATACTTCTTTGCCTCTGATGCCAGGTAATAAAAACTTCTCTGATGTGATTCATTGTGACTGGCACAGTTTGTTTGTTGTTTAACGCCACACTCAGCAATATTCCAGCTATATGACAGTGGTCTGTGAATAATCAAGCCTGGACCAGACTATCCAGTGATTGACATCATGAACATCGTTCTACACAGTTGAGATACGATTACATGCATCAACAAAGTCAGTGAGGCGGACCACCCAATCCCGTTACTCACCCCTCACGACAAGCATGGTTGCTGAAGACCAATTCTGATCCGGATCTTCACATGTTGACTAGCACAGATGTTAATTTCATTAAAATCAGATCGCTACAGCTAAACAAAGATCTGAGGACATCCCATTACGGGTCACGTCAGAATGACCTTTCGCTAATTTTGACCGACCAATGAAATGACTGACAAGAAATCAACATTGGCCAATCAGAAAGCAGCTTTCTCGAGCTTTACGACACTAGTTCCAAACTGGCAACTACGCTTCGAAACATATTTTGACGTATTCTCGATTAAAAAATTTAAAACTGATAAGAACATTCTGGAATGGCTTATAGATGGCCTAGAATGTATGGATATAATCATAAAACCCGTAACTGTCGTTCGGAATATCCCGTGTTAAATATATCGTGGTTGCATGATTAGAAAACCCATTTCATGATCTGGTAAGCGATGCTCTGATTGGTTGGATGAAAGGTCGTTCTGATGTGACCCGTAATGGGATGTCCTCAGATCTTTGTTTAGTGATAGCGAGAACTAAGATCTGATTTTAATGAGCCTGGCATAGATGTATGTTCGGTATTTGTCTTGAGCACTGAGTCAAATTGATCATTGTATGTTATTGTGTCTCACCATTGCAGTGTTCTAATTTAACATTACATAGCAATCTTGGCACAATGAGGATCACCCAAACTTTAATATTGAATTACGACAATTGTGGAGATAACTTTGTAGATTGAGCCTGTGTTTTTTGTTTTGTATAATGAAACTGAATTGAGCATGATGAAGTCGGATGTTGCAGTTATAATGACAATGTAGTATTCTACTGACTTGACTGTACAATGATAGTGTTCTCAATATCTTTACAATCTCCAGCATGACATTTGTAATCCTCTCCTTTCAGTGCCATCATCGAACATACAAACCAGGTGATCTTCATGGAAGATGATGATGTTGCCGCTGTCCAGAATGGGAGCCTCTCCATCCATCGCATATCTCGCAGCATCGACGACTCCACGGTCCGCGAGGTGATCACCCTCAAGATGGAGATACAGGAGATCATGAAGGGTAAGATGGACGCCTCATCAGCCAGCGAACACTGGTCCTAACCAAGAGTTTGGTAATAATCTGTTCGGTATAGTAAGCTCTGCCAATAATTGTCCTCAATATAACACTAAATTATACTGAAAATCCTCTTTAAGAGCGAAGTTCGGGTCAGTAGAAGTGGGAAGTGAGTGAGTGGTTTTCTGCTGTTTGGGAAATATTCCAGCAATATCTTGATGGGGGACACCAGAAATAGGCTTCACACATTGTACCCATGTTGGGAACCGATCCCAGCCCTTTGAAATGATGAGCAAACACTTTAACCACTAGCCTACCCCACTTGTAGGCTGATCTGACTATTGAGAAGTTATTACAACTGAGGTTTTTTACCACTTCCATTTCCAGGCAGTTTCAGTTCCTTCATGCAGAAGGAGATCTTTGAGCAGCCAGAGTCTGTGGTCAACACGATGAGGGGCCGTGTCAGCTTCGACGCAGAACACGTCGTCCTCGGTGGCATCAAGGACTACATGAGTGAGATCCGGAGATGCCGCCGTCTGCTCTTCATCGCCTGTGGAACCAGCTTCCATAGCGCCGTTGCGGTGAGTCAGCCTCATATTTGGGTTTCGTTTTTACGGAAACATGACAGTAATCAGGCTAATGCAGTCATGAGGAATACGAATAGGTTTTATACTGTGAGTACAAAGGACATTGTGGTTAGTGTGTTTTGCTTCGCAGTATTATAGCAGACGTCACAGCCCACAGATGAACAGCTCAGGTAATATGAATTTACTAGGTCTTAAATATTTGTGAAATGTCTTCCCGATATAAGTGATATGAAAGCCTGGTTGTATTAACCATTTTAACCATCTGTGTCCATGTAGCCATGTATTTCGGAGTTAGTTAGTAAGGGCTTCGATATTCTGTTAACGTCAGTTCTGATTCCACAAAGCGATCCCAGCACTGAACCATCACTGCCTAGTCAAGTCTGTGCAAGTATGATGATCCTTGTGCAAAGATCGGTCTGTGAAATGGGGACTGGGACAGTTGGCCTCCTCCTCAGTGAGGGCCCTCTGTACATTGTTGGCGACACAAATGAGCTTGGTGTGTGATGTGTGTGTTTGTATGTCATCAGACCCGGCAGTTGCTGGAAGAGCTCACCGAGTTGCCGGTGATGGTGGAACTAGCCAGCGACTTCCTGGACAGGAGCACTCCGGTCTTCAGGGATGACGTCTGCTTCTTCATCAGCCAGTCCGGGGAGACAGCCGACACCCTTCTAGCTCTACGGTACTGCAAGCAGCGAGGGGCTCTCATTGTCGGCATCACCAACGTCGTGGGCAGCAGCATCTGCCGCGAGTCCCACTGCGGTGTGCATATCAACGCAGGGCCTGAGATTGGCGTGGCCAGTACAAAGGTAAGGATGAAGCTGAATTTGACTGCAGTATTGGGAAGTCAGGGTCGTGAGGTCTGTGGTTAAAGTGTCCGGTTGTTAGGCTGAAGGCCCAGGTTTGATTTCCACATTTGAGGTGGCCCTCGGTTGTCAGAGGCGACCAAATGGATCTGGTGGTTGGGCTTGGTGACTTCGCTTGAATGTCTTTGCAACCTGATGGCATGGATCACTGCTTACAGTATCAATCACTTGATCCAGACTCGATTATTTTGTGGCCTCTGTCATATTGCAGGAAAATTGCTGAATGTGGTGTTAAAAAACTAATGCACGCACTTACGGTTATCAGAACATCATATGTATAACATAAGATTTGAATCATGTCTATTAAACTCCTCTTCGCCAGGCGTACACAAGTCAGTTCATCTCGCTGGTGATGTTCGGGCTGATGATGTGTGAGGATCGCATCTCCATGCAGCAGAGGAGAAAGGAGATTATCCAGGGACTCAAGAAGCTCCCAGGTAACGGACGTTGCCCTGATGGGGGTTCGGGGGGGGGAGATACCCAGGTAACGGATGGTACCCTGATGGAGGAGGGGGGGGGGGGGGGGGGGTGGAGATACCCAGGTAACGGATGGTGCCCTGATGGGGGAAGGGGGGATGGAGATACCCAGGTAACGGATGGTGTCCTGATAGGGGAAGGAGGGCGGGGGGGGGAGATACCCAGGTAACAGATGGTGCCCTGATGGGGGAAGGAGGGCAGGGGGTGGAGATACCCAGGTAACGGATGGTGCCCTGATGGGGGAAGGGGGGATGGAGATACCCAGGTAATGGATGGTGTCCTGATGGGGGAAGGAGGGCTGGGGGGGGGGGGGGAGATACCCAGGTAACAGATGGTGCCCTGATGGGGGAAGGAGGGCAGGAGGGCAGGGGGTGGAGATACCCAGGTAACGGATGGTGCCCTGATGGGGGAAGGGGGGATGGAGATACCCAGGTAACGGATGGTGCACTGATGGGGGAAGGGGGGATGGAGATACCCAGGTAACGGATGGTGCCCTGATGGGGGAAGGGGGGATGGAGATACCCAGGTAACGGATGGGGCCCTGATGGGGGAAGGGGGGATGGAGATACCCAGGTAATGGATGGTGCCCTGATGGGGGAAGGGGGGGTGGAGATACCCAGGTAACGGATGGTGCCCTGATGGGGGAAGGGGGGGTGGAGATACCCAGGTAACGGATGGTGTCCTGATGGGGGAAGGAGGGGGGGGGGGGGGGGGGGGGGGGAGATACCCAGGTAATGGATGGTGCCCTGATGGGGGAAGGGGGGGTGGAGATACCCAGGTAACGGATGGTGCCCTGATGGGGGAAGGGGGGGGTGGAGATACCCAGGTAACGGATGGTGCCCTGATGGGGGAAGGGGGGATGGAGATACCCAGGTAATGGATGGTGCCCTGATGGGGGAAGGGGGGGTGGAGATACCCAGGTAACGGATGGTGCCCTGATGGGGGAAGGGGGGGTGGAGATACCCAGGTAAAGGATGGTGCCCTGATGGAGGAGGGGGGGTGGGGGGGGGGTGTGGAGATACCCAGGTAACGGATGGTGTCCTGATGGGGGAAGGGGGGATGGAGATACCCAGGTAACGGATGGTGCACTGATTGGGGAAGGGGGGATGGAGATACCCAGGTAACGGATGGTGCCCTGATGGGGGAAGGGGGGATGGAGATACCCAGGTAACGGATGGTGCCCTGATGGGGGAAGGGGGGATGGAGATACCCAGGTAACGGATGGTGCCCTGATGGGGGAAGGGGGGGTGGAGATACCCAGGTCACGGATGGGGCCCTGTTTGGGGGTTGGGGAGGGGATACCCAGGTAATGGACGGGGCCATCAGGAGTAAAGTATTTAATGTGGATAGTCAGAGTGGTTATTGATCCTCAATGTAATGATGGAGAGTAAAATGATCAGGACAATGCAAGTATTGATAATATATTATTGTGTAACATAAGTAACCATGACAATGAGCGAGTTGCAAGAACTCTTGTGGTCATTGGTGTTACTATGTATAGCCAGTTGGTGCCAAAGAGTTACGAGTCTGCTAGCCTGACCTTGTCATTTGACATGATCTCAGTATTGGTTCGTGTGTTTATCAACTTGTATAAGATAAGCTAACTTAGACTAGAGACTAAAGTCGCAGAATGCATATACAGTCAAACACTGTTGTGTCGAACATTGATGTGTCAATTTAATTTGTCTCGAAATAAAGCTTGCTCCCAGCATATTAGTTAGGGGTGTCACGATAAATGGAAATATCGATATATTGCTATTGGTAAGCACTTAAAGTCAATAAATCGATTGTTAAATCAGTTTCCGATCAATAGTATCGATTTCAATTAGGAATATTGATAGTTTCGATTGTATTTACCATAGTTTTACAGTTTCAATGAAATACATCCGATGCTGTTCAAATTTGTTTTCTTTTGATCATGAGTGGTTGTAATTTATACATGGTAATGTGGAAGTTTCTTTTTCTAAATTATTAGGGTTAACAAAAAACAAATCAGTCAAAACATAAACTTAACTTTATATTTGTTGTTATGGTTATCACATTCAAAGGAAACTTCAGTTCAAAGGTTTAATTCAACTCTAAAATCCATCTAAAATGATACACTGAAAACTATCGATATTTATCGCAATAGTTGCTTGCAATATCAATAGTTATCACAATAGTTTCTTTCAATATCAATAGTTATCGCAATAGTGATTTCCAGACCAATAGTCACCCCTAATATTCATATTTTGTTCATTAGTTTCGGTTGTCCCGAACCTCGGATAACACCTAGTGTTTACGTAGGCCCCTTAAACTTCAACGCGGCAGTGTTTGGCTGTATCATCTGTGCTTTATCCTGGACAGGCTGACATCACTTCAGTATGAGCAGGTGTTACATCTCAGTTACTAGTGATTTATGATGTAATAATGGCATGAGAATTACATTTACATTTACATTTGATTACCAAGTGAAAATTGATCTGAGAGCTCTGATTGTCAATGTAAATATTCAAAACCAGCATAAGTTGTTTGATGGCCCTACATAAACTCACTGTCTGACTGACTCACTTTGTGACTGACTCACTGTGTGACTGACTCACTGTCTGACTGACTCACTGTGTGACTGACTGACTCACTATCTGACTGACTCACTGTGTGACTGACTCACTGTGTGACTGACTCACTGTCTGACTGACTCACTGTCTGACTCACTCACTGTCTGACTCACTCACTGTGTGCCTCGCATTCTTTGCTTTATTCAAGGTTAAATATGTCATAGCAGTACTTGAAACTGGCTTCCCAGGAAGATCCAGGTTAGAATTGGCCTTCAGCCACCCATGCTTGACTTAAAAGGCAACTAACAGTATAGGGTTGTTGATGTATATCATCGTATCACCATTGCATGGATTAATGCTCATGATGTCAATCACTGGATTATCTGATCCAGACTCAATTATTTACAGACCGCTGTCATAGAGCTGGAATATTGCTGAGTGCTGCGTTAAACAATAAACAAAGAAACAATCAGTCAAGGATGATACAGATTATGTGTTATTATGTCTCCCCCAGAATGGAGGGAGACATATTGTTTTTGGCACGGTTCCCGTCGGCGTCGGCGTCGGCGTCGGCGTTCCCACCGTTTCCGGACCATAACTCAGAAACCGTTTAATATTTTTTCGCGAAACTTTGTATACACATTAACCCAGCACTGAAGTGGTGCCTTTTGCTATTTAGAGATTTTTGACATTTTTATTTTTTCTTGTTTCCATGGAGATAACTTGAACATAGACTCTGAATGGGGGTAAGCTTGGTTTCCGGACCATAACTCGGAAACCGTTTAATATTTTTTCGCGAAACTTTGTATACACATTAACCCAGCACTGAAGTGGTGCCTTTTGCTATTTAGAGATTTTTGACATTTTTATTTTTTCTCGTTTCCATGGAGATAACTTGAACATAGGCTCTGAATGGGGGTAAGCTTTGTTTCCTGACCATAACTCAGAAACCGTTTAATATTTTTTGCGAAACTTTGTATACACATTAACCCAGCACTGAAGTGGTGCCTTTTGCTATTTAGAGATTTTTGACATTTTTATTTTTTCTTGTTTCCATGGAGATAACTTGAACATAGACTCTGAATGGGGGTAAGCTTGGTTTCCGGACCATAACTCGGAAACCGTTTAATATTTTTTCGCGAAACTTTGTATACACATTAACCCAGCACTGAAGTGGTGCCTTTTGCTATTTAGAGATTTTTGACATTTTTATTTTTTCTCATTTCCATGGAGATAACTTGAACATAGACTCTGAATGGGGGTAAGCTTGGTTTCCGGACCATAACTCGGAAACCGTTTAATATTTTTTCGCGAAACTTTGTATACACATTAACCCAGCACTGAAGTGGTGCCTTTTGCTATTTAGAGATTTTTGACATTTTTATTTTTTCTCGTTTCCATGGAGATAACTTGAACATAGACTCTGAATGGGGGTAAGCTTGGTTTCCGGACAATAACTCGGAAACCGTTTAATATTTTTTCGCGAAACTTTGTATACACATTAACCCAGCACTGAAGTGGTGCCTTTTGCTATTTAGAGATTTTTGACATTTTTATTTTTTCTCGTTTCCATGGAGATAACTTGAACATAGACTCTGAATGGGGGTAAGCTTGGTTTCCGGACCATAACTCGGAAACCGTTTAATATTTTTTCGCGAAACTTTGTATACACATTAACCCAGCACTGAAGTGGTGCCTTTTGCTATTAAGAGATTTTTGACTGGGAATGAAGAGATGGGGTTTAACGTGAAGTAAACGAATGAATGGGGGTTAGGGGAGTGGGGGGAGACATATGTTTTTACGAGTAAAAACACTTTCTAGTTTGTGTTGTGTGTGTCTTACTGTTACTAACTCTGTCATGGTGGTCGTTGTTGTGTTCATCAGACCAGATCAAGGATGTGCTGAAGATGGACGAGCAGATCCACAATCTGGCGCAGGAGCTGTATCAACAGAAGTCCCTCCTCGTCATGGGCAGAGGCTACAACTATGCAACGTGTCTCGAGGGAGCCCTGGTGTGTTGTAGTAATAGCATCATAAACTATTTGTGGTCTTGCTTCACCCCAAGAGATGCCTGGTTAGACTTGGGTTCCAGCTACCAATGCTGATTGTAAGAGGCAACTTAACGCATTGGATGGTCAGGCTCGGTGACATTGTTGATTGCATGTCATCGTACCTCAATGACTTGGTTTGCAGCTCATGATGTATATCATCGTATCATCATTGCATGGATTAATGCTTATGATCATGATCTGGTCAAGACTCAATTATTTACATACCGCCATCCTAAAGCTGGAATATTGCTGATTGCTGCGTTAAACAACAAACAAATAAATTTTCGTGTCTCTTGTTATTTTTTTACTTCTGAATTCTTAATGTAAGCTACAGATAAGGGAAGTAACTCTGCACTTAAATTTGATACACCTTCATCAGTACATGAAATGTACGTTTTATCCAAACTACTTAGGTTTTTTGACTGCTGGAGTATATGGTCTGTGGAGGAGACTCGGGAGAGATGTAACAACAAGTGAGTTTGTAGAATGAGTCCGTTTCTTGTGATTAGTTCATTATTTGTCATGTTAAAATTTCAGAAAATCAAGGAGTTGACATACATGCACTCGGAGGGTATTCTGGCTGGTGAGTTGAAGCACGGCCCTCTGGCACTGGTAGACCGCGCCATGCCTGTCATCATGGTCGTCACAAGGGACAAGGTCTTCTCGGTATGTAGCTGCGTGCAGCATCATTACAAACAATATACCCATGGGGGTTCCAGATTAGAATTGGCCTCTTGCAACCTATGCTGATCTCCTTGTAGCGATTCCGGGTTAGAATTGGCCCATATGAACCTTTCCTGACCTAATTGTAGGGATTCTTGGTTAGAATTGGCCTCTAGCAACCTATGCTTGTCTTCTTGTAGGGATTCTGGGTTAGAATTGGCCCATATGAACCTTTGCTGGCCTAATTGTAGGGATTCTGGGTTAGAATTGGCCTCTAGCAACCTATGCTTGTCTTCTTGTAGGGATTCTGGGTTAGAATTGGCCTCTTGCAACCTGTGCTTGTCTTCTTGTAGGAATTCTGGGTTAGAATTGGCCTCTAGCAACCTATGCTTGTCTCCTTGTAGGGATTCTGGGTTAGAATTGGCCTCTAGCAACCTATGCTTGTCTCCTTGTAGGGATTCTGGGTTAGAATTTGCCCATATGAACCTTTGCTGGCTTCCTTGTAGGGATTCTGGGTTAGAATTGGCACCTAGCAAGTGGTGCCTTTAGCTATTGTGGGGGTCGGGGGGATTTTGCCATCTTCTGATGACTCTTGTATTTATATACAGATGTTTCAAGTGATTTCTTTCCTATTGATACGAAGGGAAAATACCACTAAATACACATTTAAATACAATAAGTAATAACCTCTGAATCTTATTTATCTGACTTGTTTTGACTTATATTTCCTTCATTTTCTCTTCAGAAATGTATGAATGCTCTTCAGCAAGTGAAAGCAAGACACGTGAGTGTTCCACATTTCTCATACATCAGCATTATCAAGTAATCATGCCTCGTCTTTCAGGTGCAGATACAAAGTATTTCCCGAGATTAAATGCAACTGGATCTTTAAACATCCACACTGTTGCAGCACGAACGATAAAACTGTATTGACCCTATCAGTGCACAGTGGGAAGAAACACACAAATATTAGTCCCAAGTTGTCCTGGTAATAGCTTTCATCAGTGTACGATTATCAAATCAACCACACTGGACTTCCATCATTCTCTACCATTTTATCATAAAATGAAGGGTCAACACCAGATTGTAAGCAGCTGAAAGTTCTTTGTGGCTCAATATTCCTGCTTCTATCAGTGAGGTCCTAAAATTATGCCTTATTTTTCTGCTATTTACTTCAAGCCTACACCTGGGAAAGAAATTGGTAGCCTGTGATACTCGTTTGTTGTGATCCTCAGTTTGTCCACATCACACAGTTGTTTACTGGTTTCACCCAAGTGGCGTGCGTCTAAGACCTGCATATCACTTTGGGTTTCCCCATGCGTTATCCACCTTTGAGGCAAGAACGTCCACTAGCCTTTTTATCGAAGTCTTGTTTCCACCCTTGCCACATCAAGCCCACTTTCCTGTGCTAAATAGTATTGGACTATCGCACATATCGATAGTCCAGTCAGAGAACGTTTCACAAAATCAACATCCACGACTGGTACACATTCATATGAAAGCGATATAATGCTGCTTGTCTGTTGACATGAATATGTTTTTTCCATCTTTATACCCCCCAACGATTGCCTATGATTTTGTGTCAGGGATGGAATCTTGAATGTTTTCGTTATCTGATCGACAAGGTCGTCGCCTTTGGCAGTCGCCCTCTTTGTGAAGCTACACGAGATAAGAACAGCGATCTGACTGGATATTGCGTTTTCATTACTAACGTGCACAAGTTGTGATCTACATGAGGTGGCACCAGGGTTGAGCCAAAAAAGTCGCCTTGATGTGGCAAGGGTAGAAGCAAGGCTTTGATATTGACTAGTGGACACGCTTGCCTCAGGAAGATGGCATTAAGCTGACATGCAGCGAAATTCCAGAAATAGTGTTCAGTGCAGTAAAATAGCGTTTACTATCACCCAGTCACAACAGACTGACAACAATTGCATACACTGGTCCTGCATAGAGAAAAATGAGCACTTGGTCGTGCACCTGAAGCACGCTATGAGAAATGGATGTTGTGTCAATGAAAAGATTTTAAAAGAAATATATAAAAAAAATGAACATATGTCTGTTTTAAAAAAACAAATGTTGGGGCTCCGCAATGAGTTACTTCCCTTGCCTGTTCTGCAGTTTGCTATGAAATTATTTGATTTCATTACTTTGTTAAGAGTCACAAAATCCTATTTGGCAGCTGGTATGACCAATCTTATCCCAGGGTAGGTGTGAAGCAAGTTACATAATCATTAGTCACCAGGTGTACTCACAAGGTGTATTCACGAGTAGTAGTACCAGATGTTTGGTGAGAGGAGGGATCAGTGTGCTGATGGGGTACAATACTTCAGTTGTTTATCTGTTTTTTTCAATGTCAGTAAATTTATGTAACAAAAAGATGATGGTTTAATGAAAAATATCTAATCATATTGGTAACTTACTTTTTGGGTTTGTAGAGCCAGGCTAGAATATAGGTCAACAACCCATACTTGTCGTAAGAGGCGACTAATCAGATCGGGTGGTCAGTCTGGAAGACTTTGATGCATGTCATTGATTCCCAGTTGCCTGGGTCGGATGCTCATGATATCAATCTCTGGATTATCTGGTCCAAACTTGATTATTTACAGACCTCTGCCATATAGCTGGAATATTGCTGAGTGTAGCGTAAAACAATCAAGAAATGAAATAATTTGGTTTGTCTTTATGATTAATTATTATGTGTAATAAGTTGTTGTTTTTATTTCAGTTTATTTGATATTGAATAATGTTGTGATTTTCATTTGTCATCTCTGCATTTTGTCCCCAATATGTTGGTAACATGAGTTGCCTCCCTTGTTCTTCCACATGTCCCCCAAGCTAACATCTGCACATATCATCATCACCTCCTTGCTTCCCATTCATCTGTCCTGTCTCTCCATGTCTGGTGGAAAACAGCTGTTACTTCCTGAAACCGATGTCCTTGTCCTCGGTGATACTTCCTACAACCGATGTCCTTGTCCTCGGTGATACTTCCTAAAACTGATGTCCTTGTCCTCGGTGATACTTCCTACAACCGATGTCCTTGTCCTCGGTGATACTTCCTACAACCGATGTCCTTGTCCTCGGTGATACTTCCTGAAACTGATGTCCTTGTCCTCGGTGATACTTCCTAAAAGCGATATCTTTGTCCTCGGTGATACTTCCTAAAACCGATGTCCTTGTCCTTGGTGATACTTCCTAAAAGCGATATCTTTGTCCTCGGTGATACTTCCTAAAACCGATGTCCTTGTCCTTGGTGATACTTCCTGAAACCGATATCGTTGTCCTCGGTGATACTTCCTGAAACTGATATCGTTGTCCTCAGTGATACTTCCTGAAACCGATATCGTTGTCCTCGGTGATACTTCCTGAAACTGATATCCTTGTCCTCAGTGATACTTCCTGAAACTGATATCCTTGTCCTCAGTGATACTTCCTGAAACTGATATCCTTATCCTCGGTGATACTTCCTGAAACCGATATCCTTGTCCTCAGTGATATTTCCTAAAACCGATATCCTTGTCCTCGGTGATACTTCCTAAAACAGATACCAGTGAGACCCGTCCTGGAAATCTTATTATATTAAGCATGAAAAAAGAAAGAAAGTAGGAAAGAAAAGAAACAGTATTAGTATTAGGTCATTCTCGTTTTCATGATTATAAAAGAATCCTTTGTAATTTGTCCGGACTCATTAGTTGTCTTTGCAACTCAAGTCATAGGTTGGCACAGATGGCTCAGTGGCCTAAGGTACCACTTTTGGCTGTTGCAGAGTTGTATCCCTTTGGAGTAGCAGAATCCAGTGTTAATGGCAGTGGATTCTCGGTCTGTCAGCATTCAAAGCGTTGTTAAACCTATCTCGGTCACTCACTCACGATATGCTGTGCTCACATACCACATCATATAAGGTAGTGTGATCATACATGCTTTAACATTCACCTTCACCTTCACCAAAGAAATAGATGTTAGATTCAAGTAGACATCTGACATTACGTAATCATACAAGCAGTAACTCCCGCGGCAAGGCCAGTGATTATGACATCACATGATCACATGAGGAATACCTCCCACGGTAGGGCCAGTGATGGTGACATCACGTGATCACGTGATGAATACTTCTCACTGTAGGGCCACTAGGTGTGTAGTCTGTGCCTAAAACCTTTGAGACTATACCCAAACATGACATTTAACACCCTGTTCAGCAGAGTTTAGGGTTGTTATGTGGACTATTACTAGTTGTGCTTACTGGACCACACAGATTTTTACTTGACTTGGGCTTTGGACTAGTCGCTAAAGTCGCAGACAGGGTGTGTTAGTCCTTTATCACACACGCATTTCATCTTGTGGTAGGGACAGTATGTGTGATATTCCTTAATCACACAAGCATTTCATCTTGTGGTAGGGACAGTACTTGTGATATTCCTTAATCACACAAGCATTTCATCTTGTGGTAGGGACAGTATGTGTGATATTCCTTAATCACACAAGCATTTCATCTTGTGGTAGGGACAGTATGTGTGATATTCCTTAATCACACAAGCATTTCATCCTGTGGTAGGGTCACTACGTGTGATATTCCTAAATTACACAGGCAATTCATCCTGTGGTAGGGTCAGTATGTGTGATATTACTTAATCACACAGGCATTTCATCTTGTGGTAGGGTGAGTATGTGTGATATTCCTTAATCACACAGGCATTTCATCTTGTGGTAGGGTCAGTATGTGTGATATTCCTTAACGACACAGGCATTTCATCCTGTGGTAGGGTCAGTATGTGTGATATTCCTAAATGACACAGGCATTTCATCCTGTGGTAGGGTCAGTATGTGTGATATTCCTTAATCACACAAGCATTTCATCGTGTGGTAGGGTCAGTATGTGTGATATTCCTAAATGACACAGGCATTTCATCCTGTGGTAGGGTCAGTATGTGTTATATACCTTAATGACACAGGCATTTCATCTTGTGGTAGGGTCAGTATGTGTGATATTCCTTAATGACACAGGCATTTCATCTTGTGGTAGGGTCAGTATGTGTGATATTCCTTAACGACACAGGCATTTCATCCTGTGGTAGGGTCAGTATGTGTGATATTCCTTAATGACACAGGCATTTCATCCTGTGGTAGGGTCCGCATGTGTGATATTCCTTAATCACACAAGCATTTCATCGTGTGGTAGGGTCAGTATGTGTGATATTCCTTAATCACACAGGCATTTCATCGTGTGGTAGGGTCAGTATGTGTGATATTCCTTAATGACACAGGCATTTCATCCTGTGGTAGGGTCAGTATGTGTGATATTCCTTAATGACACAGGCATTTCATCCTGTGGTAGGGTCAGTATGTGTGATATTCCTTAATGACACAGGCATTTCATCCTGTGGTAGGGTCAGTATGTGTGATATTCCTTAACGACACAGGCATTTCATCCTGTGGTAGGGTCCGCATGTGTGATATTCCTTAATCACACAGGCATTTCATCCTGTGGTAGGGTCAGTATGTGTGATATTCCTTAATCACACAAGCATTTCATCCTGTGGTAAGGTCAGTATGTGTGATATTCCTTAATCACACAGGCATTTCATCCTGTGGTAGGGTCAGTATGTGTGATATTCCTTAATCACACAAGCATTTCATCGTGTGGTAGGGTCAGTATGTGTGATATTCCTTAATGACACATGCATTTCATCCTGTGGTAGGGTCAGTATGTGTGATATTCCTTAATGACACATGCATTTCATCCTGTGGTAGGGTCAGTATGTGTGATATTCCTTAATGACACAGGCATTTCATCCTGTGGTAGGGTCAGTATGTGTGATATTCCTTAATGACACAGGCATTTCATCCTGTGGTAGGGTCAGTATGTGTGATATTCCTTAATCACACAAGCATTTCGTCCTGTGGTAGGGTCAGTATGTGTGATATTCCTTAATCACACAAGCATTTCATCGTGTGGTAGGGTCAGTATGTGTGATATTCCTTAATCACACAAGCATTTCATCGTGTGGTAGGGTCAGTATGTGTGATATTCCTTAATCACACAGGCATTTCATCCTGTGGTAGGGTCAGTATGTGTGATATTCCTTAATCACACAGGCAATTCATCTTGTGGTAGGGTCAGTATGTGTGATATTCCTTAATGACACAGGCATTTCATCCTGTGGTGGGGTCAGTATGTGTGATATTCCTTAATGACACATGCATTTCATCCTGTGGTAGGGTCCGCATGTGTGATATTCCTTAATGACACAGGCATTTCATCTTGTGGTAGGGTCAGTATGTGTTATATACCTTAATGACACAAGCATTTCATCTTGTGGTAGGGTCAGTATGTGTTATATACCTAAATAACACAGGCATTTCATCTTGTGGTAGGGTCAGTATGTGTTATATACCTTAATGACACAAGCATTTCATCCTGTGGTGGGGTCAGTATGTGTGATATTCCTTAATGACACAGGCATTTCATCCTGTGGTAGGGTCAGTATGTGTGATATTCCTTAATCACACAAGCATTTCGTCCTGTGGTAGGGTCAGTATGTGTGATATTCCTTAATCACACAAGCATTTCATCGTGTGGTAGGGTCAGTATGTGTGATATTCCTTAATCACACAAGCATTTCATCGTGTGGTAGGGTCAGTATGTGTGATATTCCTTAATCACACAGGCATTTCATCCTGTGGTAGGGTCAGTATGTGTGATATTCCTTAATCACACAGGCAATTCATCTTGTGGTAGGGTCAGTATGTGTGATATTCCTTAATGACACAGGCATTTCATCCTGTGGTGGGGTCAGTATGTGTGATATTCCTTAATGACACATGCATTTCATCCTGTGGTAGGGTCCGCATGTGTGATATTCCTTAATGACACAGGCATTTCATCTTGTGGTAGGGTCAGTATGTGTTATATACCTTAATGACACAAGCATTTCATCTTGTGGTAGGGTCAGTATGTGTTATATACCTAAATAACACAGGCATTTCATCTTGTGGTAGGGTCAGTATGTGTTATATACCTTAATGACACAAGCATTTCATCTTGTGGTAGGGTCAGTATGTGTGATATTCCTTAATGACACAGGCATTTCATCTTGTGGTAGGATCAGTATGTGTGATATTCCTTAATCACACAAGCCTTTCATCCTGTGGTAGGATCATGATGTGTGATATTCCTAAATTACACAGGCAATTCATCTTGTGGTAGGGTAAGGATGTGTTATATACCTAAATAACACAGGCATTTCATCTTGTGGTAGGGTCAGTATGTGTTATATACCTTAATGACACAGGCATTTCATCATGTGGTAGGGTCAGTATGTGTGATATTCCTTAATCACACAGGCATTTCATCTTGTGGTAGGGTCAGTATGTGTGATATTCCTTAATCACACAGGCATTTCATCCTGTGGTAGGGTCAGTATGTGTTATATTCCTTAATGACACATGCATTTCATCCTGTGGTAGGGTCCGCATGTGTGATATTCCTTAATCACACAGGCATTTCATCCTGTGGTAGGGTCAGTTTGTGTGATATTCCTTAATGACACAGGCATTTCATCCTGTGGTAGGATCAGGATGTGTGATATTCTTCATTCACACAAGCATTTCATCCTGTGGTAGGGTCAGTATGTGTGATATTCCTAAATCACACAGGCAGTTCCCTAACCTCCTCTGCTACTAAGTCTATTCGCTTTAATCTATTCCACATAACATCTCTGTAGAGATTCACCATGTATTTTTGTAGTTGTAGACTTGACATCTAATTCTCAGTATCTAGTTTGTAGATCATGACATGACATCTTGTTCCAGTAGTCTTGTTTGTAGATAATCATGTGGCATGAAATCTAGTTGAGATGGTGTAGTCGGTAGATATCACATGACATGACATCGTTTCTGTTTTGTAGTCAGTAGATATCACGTGAAATGACTTCGTTTCGATTTTGTAGTCAGTAGATATCACATTACATGACATCAAGTTTCGATTTTGTAGTCTGTAGATATCACGGAACATGACATCTAGTTCCGTTAGTGTAGTCGGTAGACAATCACTTAACATTTTCTTCTGAGTACAAGCCAGATATTCAATAAATTGTTCAATTTCTCAATGGCAGTGTTATTCTGAAAAATGCATGTCAACCATTTTGTTTTGAGGACTGCTCAACGATGAAAAAATAAATTTCAACCCTCGGCAACTATTCATATTGAGGTCCAAGAATTATGATACCAATTCACTGACTTGAACATTATACAATAGGGACAGTTGCAGATGTAAAACTTCAGTATTTCTGTTCTTTATAGCTAGGCACTGTTTTGACCAAACAAGTCTGTTTTCACACCTTTGCTTTAATTGACGAAGTAGAATATAAATAATTTTAAATCTGTTTAAAGAAATCTCCTGATTTTGGACATATTTCTAAATCTCTTGTGTAGATGGTCACATCAGCAGTTATCATTAGGAATCGGCCCGTGAAGATCCGGGGTAGAATAGGTCTTCAGCAACCCATGCTTGCCGTAAAAGGTGACTATGCTTGTCGTAAGTGGCGACTAACGGGACTTGGTTGATGCATGTCATCGATCCCAATTGCGTGGATGGATGCTCATGTTGTCAATCACTGGATTGTCTGGTCCAGACTTGATTACTTCCAGAACGCTGTCATATAGCTGGAATATTGCTGAGTGCTGCGTTACACACCAAATAAACAAACAAACATAAGGAATCCCTTAGTAGCCATCTTTCTCTTTAAAGCCGATCATCTGATTTGTTTCCATCATAATCACCAGTAGTAACTTTTTCCAAATAGTCTCCATTGTCTCATCATCCTCCATTGCTTCATTACATTGTTACCATGGAAACCACCAATCCAGATAGGTGTATCTAGTCAAGATATTCATTACCAGAGACCTAGGCGTAATCAACAAGTTTGTGATATTCACAGTTTTTCCTAACCTGCACATGACAATGATCATTAATACCACATATTTCGATTCATATTTTGCAGTCTGATTTGGCAAAATGTTTCATGTATTTGTTACAAGATAGAAATCTTTTGATCATGGACAATTCATCATTACTTGAAAATAATCTCATGCACGTTGTTAACGGTCCTCTGGAATTCTAAATTATTGATGTTGTGATACAAATTCATTCATTCATGGTGCATATTAAATCACAGTGAATGTATGGATTGAACTGAAAATCAAAATCAGAAGAGAAAAAATACTCTGAAAACAGAAATAAAGAGATTTGTGTTTTTAAAAGTGTTTCTTGGTAGCTGAGTTTGCCAAGCCAGTCGGGACTTTGAAGTGCCCTGGCAATATGCCGCGCCCCCCACCCCTCCCCCCGTGGCTCCCCCGTGGCCCTCACCGCTGTTACATGTGAAGCCCTAGTTTCTATGCATGATATTCCTTCCCTCTTTGAGTGCACAACTAACAATATTATTATTTTGTTTTTGTGTAACTCGCATGCCGTCTTGTGTTGTAGGGCGAGCCTATCTTGATTTGCAACACGGGTGACGTTGAGACGCAGTCACAGGCTTTGAAATATATTGATGTACCTCTCAACATTGATTGCCTACAAGGCATTCTGACCATTATACCATTGCAATTACTCTCATTGCACATTGCTGAATTGAAGAAATTTGACGTAAGCATGAATACATGGCCTCCCCGCCTGGAAACCTTGTACTCTACTGCTTGAGCTATGCATGCTTTTATACTTACTCACTCACTCACGCCATGAACATGTCTGCATGTTAGGCCGCAATAATCTCACAAGAAACGCATGGGAGGCTTGTGGGACGAAACAAACATTCATATTTTCTTGACGGAATGACTCCTTTAGAATATCCAAAATATTATTTTTGAAAACGTGAACAAATATGAAAGTTTGGTAAGAAATATCTAGCGAGCCTCCCAGGCACATCTAGCCCCTACCCTTCTCCCTCCCCTCCCTCTCCTCTTTAGCTGTGTCTAAGTCGCAAGTTATTATCATGGAACATTATACTGAACTTTCCAATTATAGGGGCGGCCGATTCTCATTTGTAACAGGACGGACATGGAGACCCAAAAACATGCGTATAAATTTCTGGATGTTCCCCACAATGTAGATTGTCTTCAAGGGATCCTAACAGTGATCCCTATGCAGTTGCTTTCCTTTCATATAGCTGTCCTTCGTGGATACGATGTAAGCATTTCTGTGTTGGTGTTCACTGTTATTGTTCAAACATTGTGTTGTAGTAGACACGGTAACGAGTTCAACAGTAGTGTTTAGGTTGTATATTTGCTGTATGCTATGTTCATAACTTGTCCTTATCAAGCCCTGGGTGCCGTTGTACAAAGCGATCTTAGCGCTAAGGTGATAGTAACTCCCATACCTTAACATAGACTTACGATAGTCGTAGCGCTAAGGTTGTTTTGTACAACGACACCGTTTCTCATTCCAAAAGGGATCTTACACTATGACTGGCGTAAGTCGTGTACCGATATATAAACCTTGGACAGTCATTACGTGAAGATTGTTTGTGGAATGAAGTCCTGTCTATGCATATTTACTATTCTAATATCATCAATCCATGAATATTGTCCTAATCAACTCTGAATGACTTCATTTGACTTCATTTTCTGTTTCTTTCCCCACCAATATTGAACTGTTGAATATATTTATGTATAGTTGTCATAACAAAGGTTAGAACACGACTTAGTCATGTGAAATAAAGTAGATACATAATGTAGAAGCTTTCACATCCTGCATGTGACAACGCAGAGCAAGACAGCGCTGTGTCCCTGTGTTTGGATGCAAGGATTGAAATACAAGCTTCGAGTTCAGGTTTACTTCAGAATTTCCGAAAACTGAATATTTGTAGATTGGTTGGTAAATTTGTTAGGAAAGGTAAGGACAATCAACCTGATATTTACATATCAAAATTCTCACAGTATCTCTCCAGCTTTCATGCACAATTTTCATATTCCACTATGGTGTATTCTGAATGTTGGGTGAACAGTGTGTCCGACTCAACCACTGTGATTTCAGTACAAGCACAGTTTACCTGAAGTTGTTAATACTAGCTGCACTTCAACCTGCCAGAAACCTATGATTGTGGGTTCGAATCCCGGTTCGCCCCGATTATGTTTCTAGGTTTGTCAGCACCATACCCGTGCTCATGGGTTTCACCGAAGTGCTAAACGTCTGAGACCTGCATCACTTTGGGCTTTCCTCCCACATTAAGCTGGCACGCCGTGATGTAACTGGAATACTGTCAAAAGCGGCATTAAACCCAACTCACTCACTCTCTAATAAACCCAGACTGCATGCATAATACAGAGAAAAGGAAAGTGAAGATATTCTCCGCACGTGCATTTCCCAAACTGCTTATCTGAACCTAGAGTAGAACTGGAGAAATCTGCCATAGTTCCCCACTGCATTAGTTGGTGATTGGTTGAATGAGTCTTGAGAGAAGACAGCTTTTCATGGAAGCAATGTCACATGATTGCTGACTAGGTGGTGTTTACTAAACATAATGGTGACTGTTTGCTGCTAATATATGATGACATGTATTTGGTTTTGGAGTTGAAATGCTATGCAAAAAAAAAATGATTATATTTTCAACAGCAAGTAATTGCTTGTGGTTGTTTTCTATCGTGTGTCAAAATACTCATTTGAATCTTTGACATCATGCATGTTTTTTTGGTTATATTCAATGACCTGAAATTGCAATCTTTATTTTAATAAGGCCACAACAAATATCAATTATCTATTTTCTGAATTCTTCTTGATGACATCTTTAATTGTTTTCAGTATATATAAACATTTTGAAAATGTCAGTGATTTTTTTTCCCAATTTATTTTTCATATTTTTATGTCTTTCCTCTGATTCTGAAGATTCTGAAGAGAATTTCTTCTGAGTTAGCTAGTTACATAAACCACACCCTTCCAAGACATGGGGTATATCATAAGGAGGTAGTGAGAAGATAGTGCTTGTCCCACACTAGACCAGGTTCAAGTCCCAAGTTACGTTGTGTGAAGCCTTATGTTTAAACTTAACCTATCTCACACCTTGCATTTCTCCCTTCTTCAATCCTATGTGGGAACGTGCTTAAATCATGTTTCCAGCTTCTGAAAATAAAATAGCCACCCAAGCCCCCCTGCATCTCCATGGTTACGTCCAAAAGCTAGGTCAATTACGTGCCTCTCAAAGATGGTCAAAGAAGAAGGGAGAAATGCAAAGGGTGAGATAGGATGGGTATATAAATATACAATTAATACTAAAATTTCCAATTTCGTGTGCATCTCCGTGGCCGAGATGTTGTCAGTGGCATAAAAACCTCTTCCCTCGGTGACAGGTATGAGAACAGTTCCGTCAGTATAGGGCAAAGGATCTGTAATAATCTTTGCCATAATTCTAATCTTGATACAACTCCTTTATATTTTACATATTAACTAAAATTTGTTACAACCATATTTTTTCATTTAATTTTTTGAAGAAAAGAATAAGCATCATGGGTAGATATTTTTGGATATGTAAACATATTTAATTTAGAATTATTGTTTTCAGAAAGAAAACAAAACAAACTAATTTGTAGAATTCTACACAGATCTACTTCATTTGTTGTGGCTTTTGGTATTTCTGATGAAAGATATCTTATTTTTATTTAAATGTATCATTAATTTCATATTGAATATTCAGGGGCTTGAGTACTTTATTTGTTTTTATTTCAGTATTTATAAACACCATTATAATAGATAGATTTGTAACGCCAGAATGACATCTTGTTTACAAAATATAATTCAAATATATATGTATGTATTCCGAATGAAAATTAAACGTTAAATGAAAGAAAGTATTAATTTAATTTATTGATAAATCAGATAACATTAATGATTTTTTTTAATGATATTTATGCTACATGTTTGAGACCCACAGAAGTGAGGGTTCACCGAGTGCAGGGTACTGTTTCCATTGTAGGTGGATTGCCCGCGGAACCTGGCCAAGAGTGTGACCGTGGAGTAACCAAGTACAGTTCCCTGATTGCATATAGCCCATGTGAGTATTCATGTCCTGTACAGGAGCAAGAAGGGCAGATAACAACGTACAGGGCTAGCTGAAACGTTCTGATCGTAACTATGATCAGAGCTACAGATAGCAGTGTATTTGCGTAAAATACCCCCCAAAATATTCAAAACCCAATTACTTACAATTTACTTCTGTACAGAAACTCATGACATTTAATGAAAAACTCAAATGTAAAAAACAGCATGTGTAAATACCCAATGAAACTTTTTCAGCAGGCGTCCAAAAGAGCTAATTTCCGGCATTAAGGGGCTAAAACAAGGACTGGTCGACTTGGAGTCAGTATACTGTGTCTGAGTGGGGTATTCATGTTAAACTGCGGCATGGTATCTCAGTGGGCTAGTACTATAAATTGGCATCAGTCCAGACTAGTACAAGCAGACACACACACACTCACACACACATGCATGCATGTCGCTATATAAGTGCAATATTCTTGGACGCGACATTAAAACCCATTTCATGGCGGTCGGGTAGCCTAGTTGTAAAAGCGTTAGCTTGTCACGCCGAAGACCCGGGTTCGATTCCTGACAATGGTACAATGTGTGAAGCCCATTTCTGGTGTCCCCCACCCGTGATATTGCTGGAATATTGCTAAAAGCGGCGTAAAACCATACTCACTCACTCACTAAACCCCATTTCACTTCACCTCACCGCATAGTGCTTGCCAGACAGTTTTTTCTGGAATATTGCTAAAAGCGGCATAAAACCAAACTCACTCACTCAAAACGACATAACTCCTCATGAAAAATGATTGAGCACCTTGATCATTTCTGATCTGTGTCAGAAGCCTTGGGTCCCAGCGTACTTGATACAGGCCAACTGTTAAGGGTGTACTAGGCATCCGTCATAGTTAAGCTCAGAATGTTCAGCCACCCCTAGTATCAATGCAGCTATTAGTTACAATACATTTTGTCACATACAATACATATTGATATGATGTTGAACCCTTTTTATTTCGAAAAAACTTTATTTCTGTATAAATTACCAGCAAAGACAATAAATAGATCTTAGTTGTGCACCCCCCCTTTTCAAAAAAGTTGTATCCGCCTCTGTCATGGTACCCAATAGCGTGCTTGTTGCATGTAATATCAATATGATAAATAAACTTATTATGCAATTTGGCAAGCACAACACAGAATAGTTATCACAAATCTTACACATCCAATATCATTATTGAAGTGCCAGCACTTAATATGAATTATCATTTTCTATAGTTTACTGCTTTGTCAGGGTAACATAGAGTATAAAGCATCTAACAATGTAAGTGATTTAGAACGTAACATTGCATATTGTTGTGTATTTATAGGTATTAGCAAACAGTCAGTTTGCAATAAAATATTAACTAGCGATACATATCCCTATTAGCAGTGTGATCGGTGCAGTACAGCTCGGAGTAGCATAAACCCAGCCCCAGCCCCAGCCCCAGCCCCAGCCCCAGCCTCTTCCAGGGAGGCTGAATGCCCAAGGGAGATAACTGTGTAGCTCCTATGGTGGGAAAGAGCGTATTAATGACAGAAAACGTATCGTTATTTGATATCAGTATTTCCCACTCTACAGGAGACAGCTGTGTGTGTTTGCCTGCCTAGTGTTAATGTCTGACATGACGCACCTATCTGTCTGTTCAAATTGTAATATCCTATCTCAATAAACACAAAGAATGTGATATGTCGATGAAAATTCTTCACATCATCTGTAGCCAAGGAATATTTTCTTATGCATTCTAAATTCTGTGCATTCTACGCATACTAAATGTCTTTATCGATTACACATGGACCCGGGTATGTGCAGTTTCTATTTATCAATTTGGATCATTTTGGATCAATTTGGACTCTGTGATTCTGAATAAATACCATTAGGCCTGGGACGGGTAACTTGGGTATCCGGGTCAGGTGGGTACTGAGTAGACGGACCCGTGGTTAGTCACAGGATATATTGTTTAATAACAAAAATCTTTAGAACTCTATGTTTACAATACAAGTCACTAATTTTGAGACATCTCGGGGTAGGGTTGGGTAATAGGAGGTCTGGTACCCGGGTAGTAAATTTGGACTTGTCCCAGCCCTAGTACCCATAATGCACGGAGGTATGTTTATGTTACTGGTATTTCCTAGTTTGCCAGAAAAACTAAGTCAGTATTCACATTAGGAAAACTTTTGAATTTAGTGTTGAATCATTTATCTCTGTGGGAATTCCAGGTTAAAATCATTGGAATATTGCTGAGTGTGGAATTAAACAACAAACAAACAAAACCCAGCAGCCTATCCTTGTAGTAATGGTAGGATGTTATTCTTAATATCAGGCACTAGTTTATCTGATCCAGAATCATTTATTTACAGCCTTTCACCATATAGCTGGCATTATCCTTTGCAGCATTAAACAACAAACAAACAATTTAATAATTTGAAGATTTATTGGTCATGCTTCTTTTCTTTTTCAGACTGATCTCACCAGCTTTTGAAATCTTTGTTGGTATGATGCCAAAGGTCAAGGTTTCATCAGGTCAAGGTGAAGGCTTTTTGTCTATCTTTGTTACATTAGATCACATCATTGAACACAGTGCCATTGGAACAAAGCATTGCTACATCGTCAACCTCAACGTATCATGTGTCATGTTTATATGAAGTTTGTAGGTACAATGACAAAATTATGTACTGATGGCCTTTGACACAAAATTGCATATTTATTATTTTTTTATGCACTGTTTCATGTTTCATGTCTAACTTACAGTTGTCTACGACAAACGATTACGTGGGACCACAGGTGTTTCCTTTCATTCAAAGTCATTATATACATTTGAATATTACCGTTGAACAACCATTTTGTTAACTATTTCACAGAAATTAGGGGAAGCAATGAACTCAAACTTACTGGATTGATGATAAAAAATTACGTTGTCATCGTTGCTTCTTTTCTAGGTTTTCTATTTGTGTTCAGTGACATTCAGAAAATATATAGAAAATTGAAATACTTGATGACGAAATGATAGAAATTGACCAAGATACATGGATACTTTTCTAGGTTATTTATTTGTGTTAAGTGACAATCAGATAATAAATAGGGGCACGGATGGCCCCGTCGTCTAAGGAGCCGCGATTCGCTGTGCAGAGTTGCGTCCCTTGGGCATGCCAGAAACCTATGATTGTGGGTTCGAATCCCGGTTCGCCCCGATTATGTTTCTAGGTTTGTCAGCACCTACCCGTGCTTGTGGGTTTCACCGAAGTGGTAAACGTCTGAGACCTGCATCACTTTGGGCTTTCCTCCCACATTAAGCTGACACACTGCGATATGACTGGAATACTAATAAAAGCGGTGTTACACCTAACTCACTCACATCAAATAATAAATGAAAGTTTGAAATCCTTATGGGCATAGGTGTTTGCACAAATGTAATGGAGGTTTCCTCATACACATCTGTAGACTTTAGTAAGGGGTGACTGGAGATCTGTGGGGAGGTATGCCGTACACAATGTACTGTCATCAGCAACAATCATCCTCTACCATTATGTGCTATATGTAGTATATGACTGTATCACTGGGCTAGAGTGTAGTACATCGTATCATCTGGGTTAATGTGACGTGTAACATTGTATCGCCGGGCTAGTATGTATTATATCACGACAACCCGGACTGTGGGTTAACATTTTACTGGGCTATGACCATCACTGACATTACGACGAAGTCTATACGTGCCAATAAACATGTTATTGTTATGTATTGATACCATATTCAACCCTGTGGGCAGACTGAATGATTTTGTAGATTAACAGTACAGTTGATAATGTGTTAATGAATTAAATGTGCATATTGTAATGAAAAAAAATGTTTTGTAAATATATTCGGGGGGGGGGGGGGGGGGGGTAATAGGGTTTAATGATAGAAGGTGTTCATACAATTTTTATAAAAAAATGTCAATCTTTATAGGAGTTCACATATAAGGTTGTCAATTATTAGATTGGACACCTGGACTCACCTAGTAACAGTAACACCTGGAGACCCATGAAGATCCTGTGTAGAATAGGTCTTCAGCAACCCATTATTGCCATAAGAGCCGACTATGCTTGTTGTAAGAGGCGACTAACAGGATCTGGTCGTCAGACTCGCTGACTTGGTTGATGCCTGTCATCGTATCCCAATTGCCTGGATTGATGCTCATGATGTCAGTCACTAGATTGTCTGGTCCAGATTTGATTATTTACAGACTGCCATCATATAGCTGGGATATTGCTGAGTGCAGCGTTAAACAACAAACAAACAAACAAACAAACATAAACAAAACACACCTGGAAATATCTGACGACAGTAACACACCTGAAATACCAGGTATACAGCTTGATGAAGAACTTTGTCCTGGCCCCCGCTGGATCACTCCCATAGTCATGCTACCTTTCCCATACTGGATGCTGATAGGGTTGCATATGGTATTGAATAATTCCTGTATATCACTATTCAGTATCACTATTTATTTATGTTAACCATTAATGCTAATTCATGTATTAGATGTTGTTGAAAATAATGCAGAATTGGATGAATATATATTTGTTTCTCTTTTCTTAGATTCTATCCTTGAGCAGACACCAACTGTTGTTTATGATTCACAGTAGATGTGTTGTATACTTTTAGAATCACAAACAATCTTGATCTCGGCATGTTATGCTTTTCTGCTTGTTTACTGTTTTGTCAAGAAATGTTTTATTGTACATATAATGTATTTAAGAAGTGCATAAGCTTGTTTTGAGCCTAGTAGGACAATCTCTTCATTAAAAAGTAGTTTGGAATAATCTCAGTGTTTTGCGTCTTTTGCATAGTTTGTTATTTCTAAACATTACCCAAGATAACTCCGCAGCTGTCAGATGATCATTTGAAAGTTTTATTGATTTACTGTATGAAATGTTTAACCTCGTTTAACAAGTATTATACCTTCACTAACAATGCCATGTTTGGTTGTTACCTGAAACTTGCAGAATGTTGAACGTTGTGTATTCATTATACAATCTATTTGAAATCTATGCAATTTTAAATGCCTTGTATTTCTATGCCAGAGATATGCATGTTTGAATGTCTTGTTTTAAAAAATGGCAGACTAAGTTATTTTGTTCTCTCATGCATCCTGTACAGCACAGTCTCACTACTTTTCATTTATCCGAACATATCTAACCTCAATGGCTGATGTATAACAGATTCAGAAACTAAGTAGGGTCAATCTTCTGATTTAGAGGGGGGGAGGTTGGGAGGTTGGGAGGCATGATTTAAACTTGAATATGATTGTTTCCTAAAAGTGCTGGTACAAAATAATTTGTCAGATTCTACCATAAAAATAAACTGTTTAATGGTCATTCTTTGCCTAAATAATGTATTGTGAGTAAAAATTGACTTGAAGGGTGACCGAAAAATTTCCTGTCTCAACCAAATCAATACCAAATCTTCAGAATTGTAATTGGATGGTTTAGTTGTAAGTGTCCGTTTAGATGGTTGTTAAATGTGGAATTTGTCCTTGATTCATTTCAAGGAAAGGAACTATATGACTTTATAAAGATTTGAGTTGTCATCGGTTTGCGTGTTTTCCACACTTCTGTGTCAGTCGTCTGTACTGTGTATGGCCATTAAATCAGGGACACTTGCATGTGGAAGCAATGATGTGTGTACGTCGTACTTGTTGCTCACGATATAAACTGGCTGTATCAAAACAGCTGGACAAATTTAAGAAAAGTCACAACCTGATATTTGAACCTGCGAATGTGCATCATCCGTGCAGTCATTAACAGGGGAGGAGGGTTTGCTAATGGGCCAGTCATTGATGAAGACATAGAGCATGTTCTCCATATGCAACATGTCACATTCGCTCACAGCCCCCTGTTCAGTGGAAATAAAATGTTCCGTATTATACGAAATGTTCCAAAACGTGGTGTTCACACTGATTTTTTCTTAAGTTTGTTTAGCATGGTACAGGCAACTCGTGGTCTGACAAATTCCACAAGGCATTTGCTTTGTGATATGTAAAATTCTCGATTTGTGAAAATGAAAACTTATTTTATCACAGAATTGAAGTTTGTTTTGTGATAAACCGTGTCTGATGTTGTTGCATCTGAAGTTGATGTCTGAGTACTTTATCAGTGTCAAACAATCAGACCAGTTATATCCCTTGTATTGTTGTTCAAGGACAAATGATACGATTTGGGAAGTGAAAATTTGGAACTGAATGTCAATTATTAAAAGACACAAAAAAATATGTTATGTTAAGTTAAAAATATACTGACCTACTTTGAAAATGCAGATTTAAATTTTTGAAATATTTGGCAAAATGGCAACAAAAATCAATTAAGTTCTGTGCATTTAGGCATGAGATAGTCAAACACGACAAAGGGGTAGTTGGGGTTGAAATCTCATTCCATGTGTTTTGATGTGGACTTGAGCACAAATACACCTTGTCTGATGCTTGAGAACATGATTATGAGGATTCATTGTGTCAGTCTATGAGAATATTTGATATTGGTTTGAAAATCCATGTCCACTCTCAACTTTATGATTATCCTAAAATGTCTTTTTTTTTTAAACAAAAATTGAAATAAGCATACAGGTACTGCTATTGAACACAGCATTTCCTTTACCAGCCCAAAAAAGTCATAGATGTTTTGACAATAATGGAATTGATATCTTCACAAATAATTCCGCATCTGTCAATGAAAGTGATGATCTATATTGCTGATGCTTGTGTTTTGGGGTTTGTGCTAGTGTAGATGGTTTATGTGTTATTGGGAGCCTACTCATAGCCAGACATGCTTCGGGGCTGGTGCATGGGGCGGGGCGGGGCATCCCCGGGGTCGTCATGTCGTCGGGGCAGAGAGCATACTCTGCTACATGACAATAAAACATTACTATGTATGTCACTCGTCTGTTCTGTGTTATTAGCCTCTCCAGGCACGGTGCCACAATTCGCTGTGCAGAGTTGCTTCCAGTGGGCACCCTGGAAACCTGCGATTGTGGGTTTGAATCCAGTTCACCCCGATTATGTTTCTAGGTTTGTCAGCAACATACCCGTGCTCGTGAGTTTCACCAAAGTGGGAAACGTCTGAGACTTGCATCACTTTGTGCTTGGTTTTAACATTTTGTAGTCACTAAAAGTGTGTGTTTGTTGTTTAACGCCACACTCAGCAATATTCCAGCTATTTGACGGCGGTCTGTAAATAATTGAGTATGGATCAGACAATCCAGTGATTGATAAAATGAGCATCGATCCACACAATTGGGATACGATGACATGCATCAACCGAGTCAGCAAGCCTGACCCCCCGATCCCATTCGTCGCCTCTTATGACAAGCATAGTCACCTTTTACGGCAAGCATGGGTTGCTGAGGGCGTATTCAACCCCGGATCTTAACGGGTTCACTAAAAGTGAATTGGATTGGGTACAAGTTCTCCACCACCTCCCAGATGTTTACTTCATTGATTTACAGTCTGTCCTAAACAGGAACAGAACAGCAAGAAACAAAACGAATAGGAAAGGTAAGCGAACAGTGAGAGCTGTATTGTATACATAAATCTCTTTGTATTACATGTATAAGTTTCTACATATTTGAACATTTATGTATTATATTCGGGCTTGCCTCGCACATCAAGCCAACATGCCATGATATAACTGGAATACTGTTCAAACAGCTTTAAACCCAACTCATTCACTCATACCAAAAGACATTAGGAGATGGTATTTGTTTGTATGTACCCTGGCGCTCTGCATTAAATATATAAAACTATGACTGGTGGGCTTCCTGTTAAACCTGGCAGTATCTCGGCGGGCCAGCACTATAAAACAGACATGGGTCCCCACTGATATAAGCAGCCACACACACATGCTGGACTTACATAAAGTCTTTGACATCTTATATTACATTATACATAATACATTCTGTCTTAAATTTATTTATTCCTGATGCTGATGGTACCAGCAAGACTTGCTTTGTTATGATCTAGGTTGGTTTTGGTTTCATTAGATTAATATACTCCACTGTCATAGTACAGGACTAGCACACATGCCCCTAAGGGAAGTGAAGCAATCTGGTTGCTATGCCTGGGACGAGTCCAAATTCACTACCTGGTACCCTACCCCCTATTACCCGGCCCAACCCGGGTACCTGCTGTAGGTCTCACGAGTTGTCCGATTGTTATAAAAAGTGTCTCAAAGAAATATACGCCAGGCATTTTATCAAGGAAATACAACATTTGCGAATCGCTTTTTCCTAGTGCGGTACATGATTTGATACCCTGCTTATGATCAGTTATTGTGATACACCAGATAGGGGAGTCACACATTATACCCATGTGGGGAATCGAACTCTTGCCTTCTTTGTGGTGAGCGAACGCTGTAACCATTAGGCTTCCCTACTGACCCCTTCATTTAAGTGGGGATTTGTTTGTTTGTTTATTTTTGAACGCCACACTCAGCAATATTCCAGCTCTATGACAGCAGTCTGTAAATAATCGAGTCTGGACCAGACAATCCAGTTATTGATATCATGAACATCGATCAGCGCAGTTGGGATATGATGACCTGCTTCGACCAAGACAGCAAGCCTGACCACCCGACCCCTTTGGTCGCCTCTTATGACAAGCATGGCTTGCTAAATACAAATACTAACCCGGATCTTTACTGATGGAGCAAGAAGTGATTTATATGAGGTCTAGGCTTGAAGAAATGTGAGATTGGTGTTTTCTTAGGCCAGATGTGACATTGTATATCTGTGCATAACTACCCAAATAAATAAAGCGACAAAACCCTTTCCACAATGACAAGAAATCTCTGCTAAAAGCAGAGTCGACTATACAATTCATACCGTATCATATACATGTGTTTATGAATCCATATCCTGCCCCACTGGTGCCACCCATCACAAACTCATGCAAAGGCAAGGGAACTGTTCACCTTTAAAAAACACACGGGAACATAGGGAATTTCAGAAACCACACTCATAAAGATACAATTTTCCACTGTATTGTGCAACTCATGCAAATGAAAAAACCAGTTTGCTGCGTGTAGGTGCCCCTCTCTGAGAGAGTGGGTTCGAATCTCGAATGGGATTAAACACCCCAAAGTACTAGTGTTATCCTAAATATAACAATTGTTACACTTTAAAATAGAATGAAACAATATTCGTTTATAGAAAGATTGTGCTTGCTCAGCAGTCTCCAAACGACGCATGTAGAAACACCTTACCCAAAAAAGAAGATAAGTTTATTCAGCATATAGCTCATTAGGCCTAAAGTACAAATACAAAACGAGAAGGATGTCAGCTTCCTGTTAGGTTTGGGGAATACAGTCGATAACAAAACAGGGATGGTTACGACAGTATCAGGAATTTACAGTATGTCATGGTATTCAATGCAAGTACTTCTAAAGTGTGTGTATGGTAAATATATAAGAATTGAAGTAATGTATAGGATACGTAAAATGTTTCAACTTGCAGCGCTAGTAGAATAAGCATGAGAAATTATATCCATTGAAGCTTTCATAAAAGCCCATTTGAAACGCCACAAATGAAATACATATTTCATGAACAGAGCCACTGTTTGTTTGTTTGTTTGTTATTAACGCCGCACTCAGCAATATTCCAACTATATGACAGTGGTGTGTAAATAATCGAGTCTGGACCAGACAATCCAGAGATTAACATCATAACCATCGATCCACGCAATTGGGATTCGATGACATGCATCAACCAAGTCAGCGAGCCTGACCACCCGATCCCGTTAGTCGCCTCTTACGGCAAGCATAGTCGCCTTCTTTTATGACAAGCATGGGTTGCTGAAGACCTATTCTAACACGAATCTTTACGGGTCTAACAGAGCCACTGATTTGATTAGGTATCATAGTTTGATTTTAAAATATTATTAAGTGCTTGTTTGCATGGGATATCTTGGCAATTTTTTGGTAAGTATTTGCTTCGTAACAAGGAATATTTATTACATTTGAATAGAACATGGTGTTCATCTTTAACGTCTCCAAGATTACAGGTAGTACAAACACAATCAAGTTGTTGCACATTATTTTTTCTTCTATGCAGATTTATCTTAAAGTTATGGAATGATATTCTTAATTTTCACAGTGGTCTAATTAATTATCTATCCTGTAGATGAATGATATATCATTCTGGGGACAAGTGTGACTTAATTATTTAGCGTAATTACTAAGATGCTTTGATGTACTTCAGATTCATGCCACGAATATGAAAACAGGTATCTATTAATCTTTGCATAATTTGATTAAACAATATTTGTCATTACCAACTTCCTGCGAAATCCATACAAATCAGTTCAGTTTAGCGCGGTTAAATCTACAGGTAACCTAGCTCTACATTGAAAACACAGTATGTTTATCTCCATTCTACCATGACTAAATAAAACGCGAACTCTTTTGTTGTTTGCTGAGTCCAGTGTTTTGAGTGGGTTCTCGGTCTGAATTACTGGAACACTGACAACAGTCTGTAAACCAAATATGGCGTTGTATTTGCTGAAGCTGTTTGTTTACACCATAATACTTCTCTCGAACATATATGACAGGCATTGAAAGTATATATAAGCACGGCGCCCCTAATATATAAAGAAAACTAGGCAAACTTTGTAAGGCTTTCGTTCTAGACTGCGCGTCCCCATTTGTCGCCAAAATTTAAATACATTCTCTTAGTATATTTTTATCGTATTTCTGCACGAAATGTATGCCACACATCCTTTGAATGTTGTAGTAACCGCAACTTTGCATTTTGTAACCTGTAATTGTAGGTAAAATTATATAAATATGCCTACCGACAATGACTGAAAAAAGTACTATTCTGTGACTATAAGCCTCCGCTAAACCAACTGTCTCAACCAGAGGGGTATATTGTGATTTAATAGCCTCTGATTGACCAATCGGAATCGATTAATTTCCAAATTAGGAGATGAAACTATTCTTTTTCAAATTTCGAGGTGGTTCATCGTTGATTAAACACCGCTAAATGTCATTTAATACAGAACGCATTAGCGTGAAGATTTATATGTAACATTTAGCGGTGATCATCCTCTATATCTCCAGGGCTTCCATTTCGGTAACCTACACTAACGTTAGTGTAGGTTTAGTGTAGGTTTAGTGTAGGTTTAGTGTAGGTTTAGTATAGGTTTACCGAAATGCCAGCCCTGGCAATACAGAGGATGAGCGGCCATTCGTGACCAACTCGTGTTATTCCGGGACAAGCCGAATACGGAAAGGGGCGAGTGGTGACGAATGGATGAGCGGCGACAGACATACGAGCTACTACAATCGGGGAAGGTATCACGTGATACATAGTGAATACTACACTCGTTCTCGTTAGATACCATTCTTATGAAACGATTGGACTCTCTATGGTATCTACCCACGTTAAATATATATTTAAGTGTAAATACGTAACAACTTTCGTTCGTTGACAGACTAAACTGAAACCGGTTGCAAAATCTGGTTGCGCATGAATATTGATATATGCCCAAATATGGGCATTGTTGACATTTTTATGCATACGCAATAGCAACATGCGCTTGCACACACTCCGTCGCAGTGGTGACTCAGCATAACACCACTGCCACAGGCTAATTTGCATATCACGTGACCGGACTTTTCTCTTGTTTGTAAACAAACGCGCTTCTTCAGAAATCAGTATAGAACGGACTAATGCAAGTATTTGGGGGCGCTTTACATATTGTTTTGCATAACTATATAGATATTCTACTACAACTGCGACAGTGAGTTGCATGACAATATATATTTATGCATCAAAGTGACCGTGTCGCTAGCTCTCCGTTGGGCTTCGATGACAGCACGTGGAGCCGTACAACCAATGTAAACATAGGATAACTACGCAAAAACAAGTAGATTTTT